AAAAACACCAACAACCCCCCCCCCCCCCCCCCCCACATTTTTTTTTTTTTTTTTTTCCCCCCCCCCCCCCCCCCCCCCCCCCAGCCAGCCAGCATTCTCTCCTTCCACACCATTTCACTCCCCCCCTTCCCCCTTCCCCCTTCCCCCTTCCCCTGTCCCCGCTCAGGACTCGGCGAACTTACTCCTCTTCCTCAAATTCGCGCCGAAGAAAAACAAAACGTAAATGCCCACAGAACACCCGCAGCACAAAAAAGCCAGCAGACTGACGCCCCACGCGACGCCGAGGTGCTCGAACATGGGGATGGCGAACAGGATGGCGGCGGCGGCGAGCAGGGCGCGGGCGAAGCCGTTGGCGGCGAACAGCGAGGAGATGTAGCGCGGGTACACAAAGGGCAGGTAGATGAGGACGCACTGCGCGATGATGAAATTGCCGAGCATGGAGAGGGTGACGCCGAGCATGGGGACGCTCCAGTGGATGGATGCGCGCGAGGTCCAGGCTTTTGGTTCCACGGGGGCGGGAGTGGTTAGCAAATTGGCCAGGGATGGCAAGAGGAGGAGGAGGAGGAGGAGGAGGAGGAGGAGGAGGAAGCAAGTCGTCGAGCGTACTTACCGAAAATGAACAAGCCCACGGGGATGGCGAGGGTCGCCACCAGGCCCGGGGCGAGGCGTGCTTCGGGAGGGACGTTTTCCAGCTTCATCTTTTCCATCTGCTTGTCCGCGACGACAAAGAAGAAGGCGCACCAGACTGCGACGGCGAGGATGCAGCCCACCACGATGCAGAGGAAGGCGATACCCAGGACGCCAAAGCTGAAATGGTAGACTTGGCCGAAGACCATCGGGAAGCTTTCGAAGAAGGAATAGTAGATTCCATATACGAGGCTACGAACGAAGCAAAAGGTCAGCAGCTCTGGAAAGATGTGGTGTTCTTCTGATGTACTCACCCAAGATAGACCGTCGTGAACAGCACGGCAGGATCTTTGAGATTGATCTCCCATGGCTTGATCAGGGCGAAGTACAGCTCCTGTCTCGAGTTGTGGTTCTGAGCATGGATTTCCGACTCGGCCATGAGATCGGTACGTCCGGTGAGTTTGCGCAGGCGCTGAGCTCGCGCAAGCAAGATGCGGTCCGACGAGGTTTCGGGAAAGGTGAAGAACATGACGAGGAAGATTGGACCGGCAAGCCAGAGGGTCTCCCAGAATGGCCATCGCCAGTCTTTGGCTTGGACGGCAAAGTTACTGACGAGAGGACCGATGGACTAGAGAGGGTCAGCTTGGAACGAAGTGCTGATTTGTCGATCGATGACAACTGCGAGGATACTTACGGGACCAGCAGATGCACCTCCGGCCCATATGGCGATGGCGTAAGGCAGTTGCATACCTCGCGAGATCATCAGCTTCAGCGAGGTCTATTGAATTTGCGGACGGAGTGTTCCTACCGGTGCAAAAGTCACCGTAGCTTGCTCCTCCAGTGGCGAGCGCTGGTGAGCCCGCCACGCCGAGCAAGAAACGCAGCACCAGCATCCCAGCGTAGTTGTCCACCAGAGCGATCGGCACACACAGGACGACAAAGAAGAAGAATCCGATCAGATACGGCGGGTTTCTCCCAATCCACGGAATCTCCGACAGAGGGGACATGATCAATGGTCCGAGGCCATATCCAAAGACGTAGATGGAGAGGCCGAGAGAAGCAGCAACTCGCCCGAGACTCCACATCTCCATCATGTGCGGGATGCTCGCGGTGTACATGGAAGACGCGATGTACATGGCAAGTGTGTACAAGAGGACGATGAGACCTGTCCAGAGCTTCTTGCCGTTGCTCCAGTTGCGAGGGTTGTCCGAATCCGCGTGGGAGTACCAAGTGACGACGGTAAAGCCTGATGGTGTCCTATCAGCGTTGGAAAGTCTCTTCTTCTCGACATGTCCGTCTTTGTCTGATACTTCAGATCCTGCCCGCAGAGGGGTTGCAAGATGATGAATCGCTGGGAGGCCAGGCTTCTTGTCATCTCTCGCCCCGGTCTCGGAGTCGTCCAAGTCTCTGGCTCTCTCGCCAGATGCTGCATCTTCACTCGCCGCATTCCGGGGGGCTGTGAGCGAAGTGGTCCTCGGGGTTGGCTGTTGATACATTTCCGGCAATTCGAAGCTTGCAAAGTCTTCTGGGTACTTTGGGTACTGTCCACGAGTAGCTACGCGAAGAAGTCGTCCAAAGAAGGAATCACGGATGAGATCGCGCATGGTTGCAATCCAACTCACTGCATGAGGAGCTGCTCTGGGCGAGGAGCCAAGGCATTTCAGCAGAGGAGGCAGCCCGAGTTATGAAGATGTCGACCTGATGATGATTCTCTCGCTGTAGATGCACCGAAGCCGGAGGCGCGGTCACGATCCATTCGCCGCTTTTAGGTTAGCCATCCCTACCTGACCGTCCATGGGTTTCTGGGTCTTGGATATCAAAGCGATCGTGTGAAGCTAGCGACATCAGTTCGCTCGGCCCCTGTAGCAGCCGTACAGTCGGCGTCATTCAAGGGGCGGTCCTTGTCAGCCAAGACTGCGAGACTCAGCAGCATGCCATGCCATGCCATGCCTGAGTGTGTATCATAGGCTGGACAGCTACGCTGGTTGAGAGGGCAGAAAGTATGGCATGTGCTGTTGTACGGATTATAGCAGACGTTGCAAGGGATGGGTGCGGAGCGTGTCCGTCATAACGTTTGGTACTGTAAGCAGCAGATCCGGGGGTGAGATGCCAGAGCGTAGGTATACTGTATCTTAAATAGTAATGTCGATTGGAATTCCCGATGGAGCATGGGAACGAGCTTGGCGTCCCCGTGCCGAGGCGATAAGGTGCCCTCGATCCTCACGCACCTTCGTCACGTGACATGCATCGAACTTCCCACCTACAGTACAATTAATAAGGTATCTACCTTTTATTCTTACCTCCATCTCCTTCCTCGCCTCGAGACGGGACGGGACGTAAACCGCGCTCCTGAAGCTTCGTCGCGTTCCCAATGCACTTTCCTTTCTCCTCCGCAAGACATGATGGTGTCCGTCGTAACTGCCGCCGGTGTGACCACTCGGGCCCGTTCCGCGGTTCCTTTCCCCCACACCCCACTCTTCGGAGATCGGGAGGGGCCAGGGCGCACAGGGCGGATTTGTAAGCACAGGCCACCGCCTACAGGTAGAGATCTTCCATTTCTGACAATCCGATCCGGTCGCACAGAACTTCACGCATGCTACCTCTTCATCATGTGCCGGACACTTGAACACCAAGATCGAACGGCGGGATCGAACGTCAGAACCCGGACGGCGGAAGGCGTCCCACGTTACGCCAACGTCGCCATGGCGCGCGAAGGACGCGTCGTGCTCTTCAAGACGGAGGAAACTGGCAGCGATGCTGACCAGAACGATGCGGCCCGATCGGACGGAGTGGTGGTCAAGACGACAACACGAGACGAGACGAGACTGGAGGAGGCGCGCCGTGTTGACCGGTCCAGATGCAGGCGCGATGGCCAAGGAGAGGCAGCACATCGCATGAACAACACCTGAAAGAGAAGGGTGGAGCTTGCGATCCGCTGATTGGCCTGCCATGACTGCATGCATACGGTACATGCTCGTCCAAGTGCCCTCGTCGACAGCTGCTCGTCGAGATCATTGTGTCGATATGTGTCGAGATGTGCTCGGCCGTGTCGTCGACTCTCACCGGTCCGTTCCTTGCAGACCGGCGCCTCGGCTTTGCCGTCCTCCTTCAGCGTTTGCCGCATCAAGACTGACAACAATCGTCCGCTGAGCAGCACACAGCTGCACACTGCCGTCCTGTAGGCGGGCGGCCTCTCCCGCCAGCGCACTGCAGCCTCGAGCTCCCAATCCGCCTCCAACGCCGCCTGATCTTGTGCACAGTGGCGTCTGCTCCCTTGCATGACTGCACTGGCTCGTGGCCTTATAGTCCGTCACTTTCGCCTGGTCCACGCTCGCTCCTGACAGCCTCATCTCGTCTGCACAGCATACATGTAGCTTCTCCGCTTGGCAGACTCCCGTCGTTGTACACAATACCTGTTGAGCATGAAGTCGCGTTTCGTAAGGGTATCAGCGCCCGAAGCGGATCCCGAACCGCCGCCTGAGCCAATACCGTTTCCCATCAAGATTGTCGCCGAGCCCGTCCCTTCCCCGGCTCCAGCAGCTGCCTCGGATCTCCCGGCGAGCTCTGCTGCCAAACCGGTGGATGGTTTCTATCGCGCGTGGGAGAAGTTCCTCGCCGTAGAGCCAGAGAGGGCAAAAGCTACCTGCAGAGCCGCTAGAAAGGTCGAGCAGGAACGGGAACAAGTTGGACGGACTCCCGGAGATGGGTTACAGATTGAAGAAAATGCAGCGAGGTCGTGGCAACAAGCCGCCGAAGAGTGCCGAGCCAAGGTGAAGGCCATTGTCGATGAGTGTCAACGTCTAAACCAAAAATATCGAGATGCTATCTTTGATCTGGAGGCGAACGAGTATTGCTTGCAAGCATTGGGCGGGAGATAGTAAGTCGTCTGGAAAGGTCAGAGACATGAGTTGCTAATATTCTCTACCTTTAGTCCTAAAGCAGTCGGTACGAAGCTCCACGCAATTGCTCTCTCACGACTCACTAACCCAACATAGACAACATCGACGCACCACCGTGGATCAAGCGAGTTGAAGACATCTTCGATGACCCACAATTCTTCATCGACGGAGCAAGCGCAACCGACGTCCATCAGGGATCTGGCGGCGACTGCTGGTTCCTCGCAAGTCTTATGGCCGTCAGTGCCAAGAAAGAACTCATCGAACAGCTTTGCGTCGCTCGAGACGAGAAAGTCGGCGTCTACGGTTTCGTCTTCTTCCGCGATGGCGAGTGGGTGCACGAGGTCATTGACGATAAGTTGTTCCTGAGGGTGGGCGATGATGATGAACTTGACGTCGTACGTGGTTGGGATAGGGACGAGAAAGATGGCTTGGCGTTGAAGTACGATGAAGACAAGCTCAAAGATGCGCTGCAAAGAGGTGGTACTGCTTTGTACTTTTCGCATTGCAAGTCAAATGAGACGTGGCTGCCGCTGATCGAGAAGGCGTATGCCAAAGCTCATGGTGACTATTTCGCTATCGAGGTGAGATGCTTCCTACACCTTCGACGTCGGTGCCGTCATTGATGTTTGGTAGGGGGGCTTTGCTTCGGAAGGCATCGAAGACTTGACAGGCGGCGTCGCTGTCGTCATCAACCCGGAAGACATCATGGACAAGGATCGGTTCTGGAAGGAACAGCTCTCTCAAGTTAACGAAAAGTATCTCTTCGGCGGTGGCTCAAGACAGAACGGCTCTAAAGGCTTCGTTGGTGGACACGCCTATGCAGTTCTTGAAGCTTGGGAGGAAGGAGGCCTGAAACTGCTCAAGTTGAGAAATCCTTGGGGCGAGACCGAATGGGAAGGAGATTGGAGCGACGGTTCCAAACTCTGGACCGCCGACATGATGACCAAATTGAAGCGTATGTTTGCTCCCTTCCACATATCCCACACACTCGGGAAGAAATAACTCTTCGCTATGCGAAGGTGCCCGACTAGGCATCTGCTAACCTCGGAGTAGATACATTTGGTGACGACGGCGTCTTCTGGATCTCCTTTGCGGACTTTCTGAAGCACTTCCCCAGCATCAATCGCGTTCGACTGTTCGATGAGAACTGGAAAGTCGGCCAGCAATGGACCTGTGTGTCTGTGCCCTGGACGGTGGATTACCTCGATACAAAGTTTCAGTTCACCATCTCAGAGCAAGGTCCAGTGGTTCTCGTGCTCGCCCAACCCGATGACAGGTACTTCTACGGGCTTCGAGGACGATATCTATTCAGCATGCACTTCCGGGTATATCGGCAGGGAGAGGAGTCTCGCTGGATTGTGCGATCCATGCACAACTCTGGCAATGAGACGGTGTTTACGAGGTCCGTGTCCGCCGAAATCGAGGACCTGGAGCCAGGAACCTACGACGTCGTCTTCAAAGTCACTGCCATTCGATCCAATTCATCTCTGACAGCCGAAGAAGCCGTTCTCAAATACGCCACAGATCGGAAAGAAAAGTTACTACACGTTGGAAGGCGCTTCGATTATGCTCATACCAAAGGCGACTTGAGAGGTATGGAGCAGAAAGTCAAGGAACAGAAGAGACGGAAGAGAAAAGACAAAGAAAAGTCGATGTGGAAGAAAGAACGCAAGTTGAGGCAGCGGGAAAAGGAGCGGGCTAGGAAGCGGAAACAGCGCGTGGATAATGCCATGCGAGAACAGCGAAAAGGTTTTGAGAAGAAGCAGAGGGAAAAGATGAGGGCGAGAAAAGGACGTGCTGCTGCGACTGGGGAGACGGAATCTGTGGATGCTCAGGCTGGTGGGACAGAGACGGAGAACAGTGATAAGGGCGTGAGTGTCACGCCGCTTTCCAGCACGGAAGAGCCTGTCAAAGTCCATGAGCAGATGGCCGATGGTGACACAGATGGCTCGAGCAAGACTGAGATAAGGGAAGCGGATACTGGAATTGGCGCTGAACAGGCCAAAGACAAGACGGAAGACTTGTCGAAACAGCTCTCGCGACTGGATATTCAACCCTCCCAAAGCGACAGGGCCAATCCCAGCCGTCCTTCACCTCTCGTGGAAGAAGAGGACGACGAGGATGACTACGATTCTCCCATCGAACCACCTGAGGAACTATCCGATAACGACTTTGATTGGGACTCAGAGATGTAAGATCACCGTTGAACTTTCCTGACATAGATCTCATCACTGACGAGAGTGTCTTCTCCACAGCGATGGACCCGTCACTTCAAGCGATGATGGCTCAACTGCTGAAGCCATTGCGGCAGCCTTATCCGCGAAGAGAAGACCATCCCGCCCGAAGGCCGACATTTTCGGCGATGATCCGTGGAACGCACTTTGTGTTTTAGGGCTACGAGTCTATTCTAAGAGCAAGGATGTAAAGGTTACGGTCGTGAAGAGTGAGGTTGGATCTTAAGAGGGATTCGTGGAGGGAATGACCGAGGAATGCAGCGTGTTTTGCGGCTCAGCCATTGGTCTGCTTGGTACGGATTCATGGGCTGAACTGGATACTAACATTGCTTTCTACAGAAGAGCTCTGCCCCCTCGTGATAAGATACTTGCTTCTGCTGCACAGGCCCTGGGATTGTTCGCGGACTCGACATGCGACGCGGAAACGGCCTTGGCCCCGAACGTCTGGAAACACGTTTCGCCAGTCGACTCCGAAACCTTCTGGCAGAGCCCTTGCATGCCATGTCTCAGGATGCATGCAGCATGGTCTGACTCGGCCTCAGGCACAGCACGCTTCCCGCGGCTGCAGCAATACCTCGATCATGCACCTCCACCAGCTTACCCGGGTCGAGGTCGACAGCGCGGGATGCATTGGGCAGAATTTATGCCAACACTCGATGTGCTGTCTCGAGTGTCTACGAACTTTCCAAGAATTTCAACCCTGGTGAAGTCCAAACAAACACCTGCGACTGGCCCAAAGACGGAACGACTCCCCGGCAGGGGTCCCACAACACACTGCATCGTCCGCCAGCTCAGCAACTCGCGCGGGAAAAGCTGCTGTGGTCATTTGACAACCAATGTCAAGCGCGGACCTGCATCTAGATCACACGCTTGTGCGAAAGTCAATACTCGCCGCGAGCCTAAAGCTTGCGTCCATGCACGCCGCTGCAGACGACTCTGCGTACCCAGAAGGGACAACCCTTCCTTTCTTAGCGATGAGTATGATTGACGAGGGTTCGCGAGGCTTCTCTGCTGGCCACGGGAGGTGAAGATTGAAATCGTTCCGCGAAGGGCGGACATCACGGCTTCCAACCATTCCCAATGCCTGACCGTGCAGCTGTCTTATCGTCACACTTGGAAAATGCTCCGTCCACTGCGAACACTACAGCCGAGCTATCACATGGAAAGCGCTGCGCCGCCGTAACGACCTCTCTCCACAACGTAAAACAGCTCTGCTCGGTGATTTTGGCTCGGCTCCTCTCCTCTACCAGGCACACCCAGCTGAATTTCGAGCGAGTCGCGCCCCGTTGATTGGATTTTGAATTGTTGTTTGGGCTATCCTGTCACAGCACCGCGACAAAGACGGCCGGCATTGGACGTTTTTTGGAACAACACATCCAGCCTTCGAATATCTCGGCCGTATCATTGGCTGTCTTTTACATCCCGGTTGCTGTTCGTGCCATATGAGATCTGGGCTCGAATCCCTACCAACGTGAGACCCAAACAGCAGCTTGGCAGATCAGCAGACCAGAATGGCCCTTTCGCCTGACACAGGTTGTGGGAGGCTATTGATATAGCTGTGTCGGCCGCCGCGCGACGAGAGGGAGCTGGTAGAGTCCGTTTTTCCACATCTTTACCTTCGTTTAGCGCTTGGCATCACTCTCGCGAACCTCCATCCCTCACCATGGCCGACTCGCTGTTCAAACGAGTGAACAATGCCGTCTACAACAATCCGCCGACCGCCAACGGCAGGACCGCTGACATTCACATCACCGAGCATGGTTCTGACGTGAGTTATCGTATTCAGTCGGCTTGATGTGAGAGAGGCTTCGCTAATTCACGCGCAGTACTACTTTGCTCTCTGCGCCTTCTTTGGCTTCATGGGTATCGTGTTCATGGGCAGTTCTCTGACCAAGCGTCGAACGGACCGAGTCTTCTTCTACATTGCCGCTGGCATCAACTTCATCGCCAGCATATCGTACTACACCATGGGGTCCAACCTGGGAATGACGCCCATTGCGGTCGAATTCCAGCACCCGTGCTCGACTGGACCACGTGTTTGCGGTAATGAGCGAGAGGTCTTTTGGGTTCGATATGTCGACTGGTATAGTCCAATGTCCCTCCCACGGGCGAGTGAATGAATGCAGCTGAAGATCGATGTCCAGGGCCATCACCACCCCCATGATCCTCCTGGAAGTTCTGCTCACCTCGGGCATGCCCGCCCCGACGATCCTGTTCGCGATGTTCATGGACGAAATAATGATAATCATGGGCCTTGTCGGAGCGGTGACGGTCACGGGTTACAAATGGGGTTGGTCCATCTCGCCGAGAGTTTCAAGGTGTGCGCACTGACCTCGGATCAGGTTTCTTTGCCTTTGGCTGCGCGGCCATGTTCTTCGTCTTCTGGATCTTGATCTGGCAAGGGCGCAAGTATGCCCAGCATCTCGGAAGCGACATCCACAAGGCATACATCCTCCCCGTGGTCTGGCTTCTCATTGTCTGGTTCTGTTATCCCGTCTGCTGGGGCGTCAGCGAGGGCGGAAACGTAAGATCTCACCGTGCACCATACATCCCGAAGCACCAACGACAATATGGCTAATTTTCCCGTTCCTCAGGTCATCGCTCCCGACTCGGAAGCCGTCTACTACGGCATCCTCGACCTGCTCGCCAAACCCTTCTTCTCCATCCTCACGCTCAGCCTGCACCGCAAGATCGATCCCGCCCGCATGGGCCTCAAATTCCGCGACTACGACGAGGACTTCTTCCACGGCCACTGGCGACCGGAGCGCGACAGCCACGTGCCCCAGATCCCCCGCGACCCGGAAAAGGAAGAGCCTCCGGCGGGCGACGGCGTTCGTGGTGGGGGTTCGGGCGACGCGCAGCCCGCCGCCGCCGCCGCCAATGGCCAGGACACTGCCGCCCCGCCGGCTCCGCCGCCTGCCAGTTCTGAGTAAGTTCTTGAACTCCTCCGTTGCTTTCGAGATTTGTGTGTTTGGTTTTGGTTGAAGAAAGCTGAGCTCATGCCCAAGGCGTCGCCAGAGAAACTTGATGCCTTTCCGCGTCAGGATCGAACGTTCGGGACAGCAGCCGGCGCCTCAGGCGCAGCAGTAAGCGGCGGGGGCACAATTGCAGTCATAACAAACAGAGCTTTGTCTGTCTGTTCTGAAGAAGAAGAAGAGCATGGGTGGCAGAAGTTCCGTCGTGGTGGTGACCAATTTTTTTTTTTTGGCTCGAGAAATCTTCGGTTTTCCTCTTCGTCTTAATATCTATCTTATCATCAATCTTGATACCCACCAATCAATCAATCAATCAATCAATCAATCAACCAGCTGAGGAAGCTTATCATACCTCCAACGAGCCCAGAGGAGCGGGAGACTCGCACGCACAGCGAGAAGAGAAGAAGGAGTCTTCCCCAGCAGCAACTGCGTGTCTCCCTTTAATGATCCTCCTGTCTGTTCGACTGGACGTGGGCTTCCAAGCTAAGGTAGCAGCCTCTTCCTGCCTACGCACTCGCCTCCGCCTCAGCCTGCCGTCCAGCCACACTCCCGCCCTTCCACCCCTTCCTCGGATCTTCCCGCTCCCGATGTTCCCTTTCCTTCCCCACAGGGCCCCACCCGCCACCACCAGGCGTCATGACGATAATCTTCTCCCCCGGCTGCATGGACGCCGTGTTCTTCGCGCCCAGGGAGATATGCCGGTATTCATATCCCTCGTCGCCATCCGTGGCCGCGTTCGCATCCGCATCCGCATCCGCATCCGCATCCGCATCCGCATCCGCATCCGCATCACTCCCCGTGACCTGCTTCACCCGCCTGACCCACACATTCTTCCCGCAAGCAGCATCCTCCCCTCCCTCGAGTCCATAGGGATGGTAGACCCTCCTCTCGCTCAGAATCGAGACCTGCACGGGGATGCGGAATTCGATCTCGCGAATAACGCCGTCTCCACCCCGATGCTGTCCGCGGCCTGCGCTGCCCGTTCGCAAGCAGAATTCCCGCAGGATCACGGGATACCGCCGCTCGAAGACTTCACTGTCCGTGATGCGCGTGTTCGTCATGTGCGTGTGAACGCCGTTCGTGCCGTCCCAGGTCGGCCCCGCTCCGCTTCCGCCCGCGATGGTCTCGTAGTATCCGAAGCCCTTCTGCGCTGCCTGGCCGGCGACGTTCCCGCCGAAGCCGAAGGTCAAGTTGTTGGTGTCGCCCTGCGAGGCGGCACACGCCTGGAAGGCTCTCAGCACCACATCCGTTACGCGCTGTGAAGTCAACACGTTCCCCCCTACGACAGCGGCCGTCCCCGACGGACTGAGGAACGATTTCGGTGGGATCTTGACCGTGATCGGTTTCAGACAGCCCTGATTCAGGGGGATATCCTCACTGATCATACAGCGCAAGCAATAAATGATGGCGCTGTAAGTCACGGCTTCCGGCGCATTCCAATTTCCGTACACTTCAGGTCCCGTGCCCTCGAAATCGAAAATGGCCTCGCCCTTGTCGGCGTCAATGGTGATCTTCAACTGAATAGGAGAGCCATCGTCCATGTAATCAATCGCCGAGAGATCCTGTCCTTCAAAGCGTTTCGAGACGGACTTGAGGAGATTCCGGACGCTGAGTTCTGCGTTATCCTGAATGTTGTGCATGTAGAATTGCACTACATCTTCGCCGTAGTCTTCGATGAGGCTGGAGATGAGGTTGATCCCCTTCTGGTTCGCGGCGATTTGAGCTTTGAGGTCGTTCAGATTGTCGGCGAGACAGCGAGTACCACTGCACCCCGGCCATTCTGCGGGTTCGTTGAGTAACAATTCCGTGATTCGATCCTCGTTGAAGTGTCCCTGCGAGACGAGCTTTTCGGTCTTGATAGCGGCGCCTTCTTGGAAGAGCTCGCGGGAGTGAGGTGGCATGGAGCCGGGCAGGATACCGCCGATATCAGCGTGGTGAGCTCGAGAAGCGACATAGAAAACGATCTTGTCCCCGCTGAAAGCCGGTGTGATGACCGTGATGTCGGGCAAGTGGGTACCGCCGAACATGGGGTGATTCGAGACCAGCACGTCGCCCTTCTGGAGCTTGCCCTTCCAGATCTCCGCCTGCTTGGTTACACATGTAGACATGGAACCTAGATGCACCGGCAGATGCGGCGCGTTCGCCACCAGTCCGCCTTCTGCGTCAAACATGGCACACGAGTAGTCGAGGCGCTCCTTGACGTTTGTGCTGACGCTGGTCTTTTGCAACGCTCTGCCCATCTGTTCGGCAATGGCCATGAACCGGTGGGCGAAGATGGACAGCATAATGGGATCGACTTCGTGAGTGTTGACTTTCTTCTCTTGCCCGTCCGTCTCTCCAATGCTGATCACGACATGCGTGTGTATGAGCAGCGCAGTGGCTTCCGGAGTGACGACAATAGTCTGCGTGCCATCCGCGATGATAGCCGGGCCCTTGATCCTGTCACCGACTTCCAGATCCTCGAGCTTGTAGACCGCAGTGTCTTGCCTCCCCCCCTCAAAATACACGGACTTTCGGCCATAGATCTTCTCGCCCTTGCTGAGATCCCTCGCTTTGATCTCCTTGAGCTGCTGATCCACCGTCATCTCCATGCCCTCGAACGTCTTGCCGATGCCTCTGGCACGAACGTCATCGATGATGATATCTCGGTCGGGCAGTGTGAAGCCGAACTCCTGTTCATGCTGCTTGACGAATGCCTTGCCGAACGCCCACTCATCGCCACCATACTGCTTGCCAACTTCTTCTTTCGTCGGCTTGATGACCATGAGCGCAGACTCGGTGCCTCTGTACCGCATGTTGAGATACTCTTCGAATTGGATCTGCTCGTCTTCGAATCCTTGGTCGTTCAGTGTGGCAGTAGATTTCTTCTTGAGTTCTTCCATCTTGCTCTGCAGATACTTCTTGACTTCAGGGTCTGTGTCGGACCAGACTCTCGATTCGGGCTCCTGGCGCTCATCCACGACGTCGGCTAGCGCCATACCGTACGCTGATAGCACGGAGGAGTACCGATGGATTAGAATCTGGGTGATGCCCAATGCTTCTGCGATCGCCACGGCGTGTTGACCTCCGGCACCACCGAAAGTCGCCAATCTATGCTTGCTGGTATCATGGCCCCTCGCTTCGGTCAGCGAACGAATAGGCCTCGTCATCGTCTCGTTCGCAATCTTGATGAATCCGTGTGCGACTTCATCCATACTCATATCCTTGCCCTGCTCCTTGTTGATCTGGTCTGTCAAGTCCTTGAACAACTTCTCACTCGCCTTCTCATCGAGACCCTCATCTTCGTTCTTGCCGAAAATCTTGGGAAAGAAGTCGGGTAGTAACCGTCCTAGGTACAAGTTTGCATCTGTGATGGTGAGCGGGCCGTCCTTTCGATAGCAAGCAGGGCCAGGATGGGCGCCTGCGCTTTCAGGTCCTACGACGAAAAGGCCATTACGGAAGAAGAGTCGTGATCCACCCCCGGCAGCAACTGTGTTGATATCCAGCTGGGGACTCTGGATGGTAACGCCAGCTGTAGTCGTTTCGAACACGTGATCGTACCTTCCACTGCCATATCTGCTCACATCTGTACTCGTACCGCCCATGTCAAATCCAATCACTGGAATTTTGGTTTCTGGGTCATAGCTGGTGAGAGCGTAGCCTACCACTCCGCCTGCAGGACCCGACAGAATAGCTCGCAGTCCGGAAAAGATGTCCACGTCTACCAGGCCGCCATCTGACTGCATGAACTCGCATCTTGCACCTCTGGCACCCGACTCTTTCTTAACGCTCTCTGAACCCAGACCGCCCTCGAATCCAGCCTGAAATCCATCAATGTACTTTCGTATTGCGGGAGTGAGATATGCGTCTGCACAGGCCGATGTTGCTCTCGGTACTAGCTTAATCATAGGCATGAGCTCATGAGACAGCGAGACATGCTCAAACCCAATGTCCCTTGCAATCTTTCCCACCAGCGCCTCATGGTGAGGATACGTATACCCATGCATCAGACACACCGCAATACTCCTCAATCCCGAATCATACACCTCTTGCAGCTGTCTCCGTATTTGTTCTTCCTTGGGTCTCCGCAGTATCCGCACGGCTTCTCCACTCAAGCCTCTAACAAGCTCAGCCCCCTCATCTGCCTCTTCAAGCGTCTTCGCCTCGGTGACATGTCGTTCCGGATCCTCAGCATAGTCCTCCAACGTCACTCTCTCTTCAATCTCCACCACCTTCTTATACAGTACCTCCGGCTTCCGAATCGCCAAATCAAAAATATTCGGCCGGCTCTGATTCCCTATCTCCAGACAATCTTTAAACCCCTTGGTCACAACCATGGCTATATCTTCCCCTTTCCTCTCCAACAAGGCGTTGGTGGCAACCGTGGTGCCCATTCGTATACTCTCAATCTTACTCGTGTCTAGAGGTTCGCCGCGGGGGATGTCTTTGCCAGAGAACTTGGAGAGGAGGCGGCGGATGCCTTCTAGGGGTGCGTCTTCGTAGTTGGAGGGGTCGACGGAGAGGAGCTTGATGAGGACGTCGTCTTCCATCTTGCCTGTGCCTGGGTTGCCGACGCAGTCTGTGAAGGTGCCGCCGCGGTCGATGGCGATGCGGATGCCGCGGTCTGTTGCACTCGGATGGGATGTGCCATTGGGGATGGGGTTGTCGACTGCCATAGCGGGCAGCAGCTATGTAAGAAGGGATTGGGAGTTTTTAGACCTCAAGTATCGCGAAGGGTATATATGAAGGAAAGAGAGAGATGGAGGGAAAGAAGGCTTGGGAAGCTGCTTCTTGTTGGTAGAGGATAGGGAGGGACAACTTTTGTATTCGGCGGTACTTCATGGAGACCACATGATTGGAAATCGAATCGATGTAGATGAGTGTCACGGGCAGCTCGCGGCCAACTAGGGCGACATGTGAAGGTGCATGCCCCACCAAGTGAATGATGAGGCATCGGAGGAGAGACGGGACATTTCCTTTGCCGGTCGGCCAAGATGATGGTGGCCGAGTGGGGGGTGGGGGAGAGGAGGTCTGAGCTCTACATCTCTCCCGCCCATCTACAACATTCATTCACACGCGACAACAGCTCGGTTCTTGGCATCACATGAGAGTTCTCCGTGCGAACTTGCAGTGGCAGACGGGACGGATCTGTAATCTGTAGAGGCATCTGAATCCTATAGGCAAGTGGTTAGGCTCATCGCAATCCATCTCAACTCAAAGTGCCAACTTCCTTCATCCCTTTAAGAACCGAGTTCACTGTTGAACATCCACCCACAATCACGAGCCTCACTTGGGCCTCACATGCACTCTTCGACAACATGGCCACCTACCAAGTCCACCACCTCAACATAGGAGAGAATTACACTCGGCCATGGATCTTCTTCAACCCTCATGCTCAAACCTGGAACCGGCCCCCGGAAAGAACAGACCCTTCTATCGAACTCTTCCACCGATCCCTCCCATCCTACAACGAAACACCCCTCCACACCCTCCCCTCCCTCGCCTCAACCCTCCACCTCCCCCATCTCTTCCTCAAAGACGAATCCAGCCGCTTCGGCCTCCCCGCCTTCAAAATCCTCGGAGCAAGCTATGCCGTCCACCGCACCCTCTGTGCACACTTTAACCTCCCGCCCACAGCCCCGTTCGGGGACCTGAAACAAGCCATCTCCGGCTCCCGCGAGCAAGGACCAAAGCTCGTGACATGTTCCGAAGGCAACTGGGGAAGGGCTGTCGCGAGGATGGCCAGGGTTTTGAATGTACCCGTGAGCATATACGTTCCGTGGTTCATGGAGGAAAATACGCGGGATCTGATTCGGGGGGAAGGGGCGGAGATTGTGGTTCTGGGGAGGGAAAGGGGGAGTTATGATGATTCTATTGCTGCTGTGAGAGATGATGCGGAGAGGACGGGCGCGTTGATGGTGATGGATGTGGCGTGGGAAGGGTATGAAGAGATTCCTCGTGTGAGCTACCCCTATTTCAACACTACTGTCTGACCAGCCGTTACAATTCTCTATGGCAAATACTGTACCCTTCCTAACACTCGCACAGTGGGTAACATCCGGCTACACAACCATGCTAACCGAAACCGACCGACAAATCCCCTCCCTAATCAACAACAACAACAACAACAACAACAACAACAACAACACCGTAATAAAAAAACCAAACACCTTTTTCATCTCCGTCGGCGTCGGCTCCTGGGCGCATTCCGTCGTGGCACACTACAAATCCCTCGATCCCTCAAACCGCATCATAGCCGTGGAGCCCCAGTGTGCCGCTTCGTTGAAGGAATCGCTTCACTGCGATGCAATCACTCCCATCGAGACGGGGGAGACGGTCATGGCAGGCATGAACTGCGGCACCACGTCAACTCTCGCGTGGCCGGTACTGCGGGAGGGCATCCACGCGGCTATAACAGTAACAGATTGCGAAGCCCATCAGGCTGTAGAGGAGCTACGAGCGCAAGGCGTCAACGCCGGTCCGTGTGGTGCAGCGACGTTGGCCGCCGTGAAGAAGTATCGAGAGCAAGTGAGCGAAGACGAATGGAACAAAATGGTGGTGGTGTTGTTCAGCACAGAAGGTGCAAGGGAATATGAAGTTCCCGTAAGCGTCCAGTACCAAGAGAAATTTGGCTGAATTCTTCGAATGTGTAGTAGAAAACTATCGTGGCAAACATAATGCAGGAATAGCGACCGAAACCGAGCAGCAAACTGCAACTGGAGGGCCATCCTTAGCCACTGAAAATGCCTTGTGTAAAAAAGAAAAGGCGTAAAAGATCCAAGATACGAAATACTCCTTCCACCTGCTTCTCCCACACATCTTGACCCTCTCATTACTCTCCAAAGTCCAGGATCATGAGAAGCAGTACTTGTACTCATCCACGCGGAGGGTCGAACTCGTCTTTGAATTCCTGACCCAGCTTCTCAAGTCGACATTCTAAGGACCTCTTTTCCGTCAGCGACAACATTCCACGAATCCAGAGCGAATCCGTTCAAGAAACCCCCCTCTCGCCCGAGACTCACTGACATGAATCGTCACTCCCAGCAGCAGGCCCACCAGGGCATCCAGCCGGAGGAGTGGGGACGTAATCGCCGCGGTCGACCAAGAAAGCTCCAGAGTTGAATTCACTGAAGACGTGCTGGATGAGGTACGGTTGCTCAGGGTTACCCGAGTAGACCGTTCCCAGGACAGCGATTCCCTGGACTTGCTGGGGCTGGATGTCGAACTTCCAGCGGGTGAAGACGTTGGTGCAGTCGTGCCAGACGTTCTCGATCACGAAGGGCATGTTGGGTTGCGTGGACTGGTCGCGGATGAAATCCGCGCGGTTGGCTTCGGTCAGTTGGCCGAGCTGATTGAAGGCAAGCCGTCAGTATGGAAGAGCACGTGAAGGAGAGGAAGAAGACGGGATCCAGGAATCATGCATACCTGCTTGGGGCAGCCGGAGCCATTGCTCATGAGCCAGTTGACGGTGTCGGACTGGTCCTGGAAGTCGGGAGTGAGGACCGAATCAGTGTACTGAGGCGTGAAGCGGCTGAAGAGGCCGGCGAAGTTCTGCGCGACCTGGTAGGCGGCGCCGTCGTTGAGACAGTTTGCGCTGGCAGTGCCCATGAGGAGAGCAGCCGCCGAGACGGCGGAAAGTCCGAACTGCATTTTGGTGAATTTGCTGGGGATAATTAAAGCGAATGAACGACGATCGACGGAGGCTGTACAGTTACTGCTGAGAGAGAGACCGGATTCCAAGCGAGAACCTGCACGACCTTTTGTACGGCATTGGGGTTGTCGTGCGTGAGCATTAGAATTTCAACAGCCTTACTCGCGGTCGAGTTTCATGGCTCGCCCACTTTGAAGTTGTACCTGAAGATCCACGGGGGTGTCGCTTGAGAAGTGTTGCACAGCCGAACAGCAACACCTCCCTTTACTACGACTACGATTCGCAGAAATACGCAACCAATTCGACTGCGGCAGTTTTGCAGCGTGCTGTTCTATCAGATGCACTTGGTCGTGCGACGTCAATCGAGCGTTGTGGTGCAATATCGCGACGGAAGTGATTTCGGGGTGTGGCCTTTTTCCTGCGTCCCGCGTGAGATCGCGGCTGTCGTGACTCGGTTTCAATATATGCAGAAGTATGTCTTCTTCGAGCAATGACAAACCTAGTCAAGTGCTCCTCCTGTGCAGGAATAATGTCCAAGCCTCCAAATTTCGGAGAATTAAACATTCTGAAGTCCGTGAGGTGCAGGGTATCTCCCAGTCTCATATCTGGTAATTTGGGCAACAACCAAGATCGCACTGATCGTGAGTGGTCTCTTGACTCTGGCAATATGGATGTTCGATGTCGAATGCTCAATTTGGATAGTCTGGTCAGTTCCTGGTATATCCCCTACCTATTGGAGCTGTGATGGAGCGTGCCGACGGGTGATGTGTTGTCGCGACGTAAGACTCGCTGCCTCGAACGACAAGAGTCATACGGTAATGCAGAGCCCACGACCTCCGCCAAAAGGAATTGGTGCGCCCTCGCGGCGTCAGCAACGGAAGCCACTACGTATTCAGCTCACTTATGCTCCGTCCTGAAAACATCTCTAATAGGCGTCCAGACGGAATTGTCAAAGTAATTTGCCAGACTCTGGCGGCTTGTTTAGAGAGACGGCAAGTATTCAGCTCGCTCATCTCCAGTCATTTGGGACGTAGTTGTTCCAGGCGTTCTCGGGGTCAGATGTTGAGAGATCCATTTCGGTGCCAAGAAGGGACATCCTCGCCGAATGTACAGGGCGTCTGACAAAACAGCCTTTTCGCGTGTCGATCGAGCATGCCAGTCTGCACGTTGAGAGTCATTAATGCCGATGCCAGATTCTCTGGTTGCGAAAGGTCCTCCTATGCGAACGCTCTGTACTTGCAGTCGGTCGAGACACTTCTGCCAAGCGAGTCAGGCAATCGTCTCTGACACAGACGACGATTTTCGGGAAGCCATCTATTCCGTCCCGTCCATCGGTGCCCAGTCCGAGACCGCCACCGATACTGACGTGCTACCACACTACCTCTTTCCAGCTGCTAGCTTTTGCGACCCATTGAACTGTATCCCCTTCGAATTTCTTGGCCTGCTGCTGGCGTAGGAGCCACGTCTCATGTCTGAGTCGGAAGACGCGTACACGTAATCAAGATCAGGTCTGGGTCGGCGTCGAGTGGGCGGCTCCGCGGGGTTTCGGACTTTTTGCGCGTTTTCAGGCTACCGGTAACGTGTTGTGTGTCGAGATCTCTATGTATGTAGTAGTTGGATACGTGTATACTCGCGGTGAGGAGGGAAAGAGGAAGTAGAGCCCATTCCGAACGTAGACTAGTGCTCCAGGGGCCCGACCACTCTCGAGACATCACCACACCGTCCTTGCAAATCTTGCCTTCGACCACAACAACATCGTCTAGGCACGAGCATGTCACCATTACCAAACACATCCTGCAGCTCTCCAATGAGATGTCGCAACAGAATGAATGCCGAGTTGAACAGTCCGATCGGTCCCGAAAATTGCTACATCGAGGTGCCCGTTCAACAGCTCTCCGATGAGTTCTCGCGAATGCACTGAAGAAGATAAACCTCACCCTCTGGCGGTCCGAGCATGCCAGCGGATACGAGGGCGACAGCCGGTCAGACAGCAGCACATTTGTTACATTGCCCGTCGAGATAGGCACCAACGCGATGAGACGCTCCACTGCACTCGAGAAAAGATTAGCAATTGCTACATGTACAATTCTGTATCTTCACTTTGCTCCTGGAAGCGAGCTTGCCCGCCATCTGGGCCAAGGTGCGTGCCTCAATACGAGATCTCATCCAGATACCTAGCCGCTTTCAAGATCAAGCTGCGACTGGTAATAGAATGCATGAACGAATATAGCCAGCGCTCCAGTGGAAGTACAAGGCCGTTGTCTTTCTTGATCCACTGTATGGTCTCGCTCGTAAGAATGGCGCCCTCGTTACGCGGTCTCACGGTGATAACGATCAGTCCGGATACGTGGGCTAGGTCCTTGGTGGGCTCGATCGCGAGCTCGGCCTTGAGCGGTGTACGTTTGACGACGCGATATACTCCGCAAACCAAGTCACCATCGCGGAAGTCAAGGCTCTCGATGTATTGCTTGGTGAAGGTGCGGCGCTCGTCTTTGGCTGCGAACCACAGGAGATAACCTTGGAGGGTGGTTGAGAAGTTGACCTTCACAAATGAGCCAAGAGTTAACAGGGGGGATGGAAGACCATCAGGCGGCTGTGACACTTACCATGTTCCTACGCAGCACCCGAGTGAAGATGTCTTCATTTCTGTTGCTCAAGGCGACGGTGAAGTTCGGCAGAAATTTGACGATCTTGTCATGGTAAATGCGGTACCTTCATCCAAGAGGTCAGCTCCGAAATTGAAAGCAACCTCAATTTGGCTTGGACGATACACACCGCTTTGACCTCTCGATCACGTCAGATGGCAGCGATTCGATTTCCTTCACCTCAACGGACGCTGCTCTGGCGCCCGAGTTGAGGTGACTAAGTGTAACCTGACGGCCAAGAGCATAGTGGAGGACGAGAGGATATAGGACAGCACTGTCGAAGTGTCAGCTGCTTTTCTACGGATAGCGCAAGGCATATGTAGTCTGACCTTGCTACCGAGAGCGTGCCGCCAGCTAGAAGAAATCGTGCGCTGCGATCTTCTGGAATCCTGTCCAGTACAAACTTCTGAGCTCTATCGATGTGAGGCTGGATCTGCTCCATCTTTACTGGGATATCCAGTCAAGAAGCGTGATGAATAATGAAGGCAAGACGCAGATGCTATCCTGATGTATGCTCGATTCCGAGGAGCCGAGGCAATACAGACCACGGCCCATCCCGCAGCTAGCTCGTCTGGGACTGGCCTTGCGACTAGCCATGTGATGAAGTGAAGCCTCAGTCCTCTCCTTCTCTTGTCACGAAACTGACATTCAACATCAACGTCAAACGACCACTGTCGCTGGCCGGAATGGATTACCGTTAGATCTCGATTCGAGCTTTTGCCCGCCATAATCGGTATCGATGAGCTGTGCGGCCGCGGACCTCCGGGGACCGTTTATCGAATGGGTCTATAATTCTCTCCGTGTTCTTGCTGTGGCATGCTCGCAAGGGCGTCCTTGGATGGATTCTCCTTAAATCTCTCTATACTTGACGCAGTATGCCGTTTTCAGCTTGAATGGAGTCACCAAACGTCTGCGCTGATGATCATCTCACGGAGAAGAGCTGGTCTTTCGTTGTACTTGGCAACTTTGCACGTCTCGGCATCTTGCAATGCGTAAGTCACAATGAGTCCCGAGGATAAGCTGACGAGCTTTCCCCTAGACCCGAAGGTGGATGCGTGAGAAAAATTGCTCAGATTGAAGGACCAGAGCATCATGGCCCTTGATCCAGGCCTTAGCGCTCTTCTGTAGCATCCGCGGGGATTTTGCTGAATAAAGCGTTTCGCCAGACATCACGAAAATGTTCCACGGAGGAAAGTGACGGCATTAGCACCTGTTCCTAGAAGGCTATGGTGGAGCATCACACAACCATACCCAAATTCGTAGCCTCAACATACCTTCGCTCCCGGATCCTCATGCCCGTCTGAAAATATGAGGAAACTCGACTACCCGCTTGCCTACGAGGAAGCTCTGAGATCTAGACATGGGAATACGGAGCAAACGATGGGTTCCCATTGGTCCATCCCCAGGACCATGCGTTCGAATCCTTCCATACCCCTAACCGGAACCTCCGAGATGGGATGGATCCCCCTCGCAAACATCATTCCAGACAACGCCTATTCTAGCAGTGCCAAGCGCTTGAAACTCCTATGGAGTCATCGACCCATATTACGGATACGATCGATTGCGCCTCAACGACAGTATACGTCACCAGTCCTATCTTTGGTGCACTGGTCTGTGTATAAAGAAGCGCTTTCGGCACTCTCTACACAATTGCATCTCAACACTCATTCCCAGAACTGTCCAATCGCTACACGCCTTCGAAAGCCACCATCAGTCTTTAGTTTCCGCAGGCCTGCCACAGAACTTCTTTTTCCGCAAACAACTTACGTTCAAAATCACGATGCATTCCGCCAGCGTCCAAGTCACCATCGCTTTGCTCCCAGCCTTGGGAGCGGCGACCCGCTTCCTGGCTGGTGGTGCTGACCAGGCCGCCATGCTGTACAGCGCCGGCTCCGGCCAGAACGAGCAGTCTGCGAACCCCGACTACCACCACAACGCGGGCAACGCCAACGGAGTCAACGACTGCGGTGTCTCTTCTTTCGTCGGGCTTTCACTCCCCAGCACCAGCCAGGCTGACGTGAACGACTGCTATGCTATGCTGCAGAAGATCCAGCAGGACGAAGAATGGACCTTGAGCCAGGAAGGTGTTGTCGCTATCAACGGCCAAGACAACCCCAATGTCAGCCCAATCATCGTCCAAGAAGGCTCTTGTAAGTCGCATACCTACCAATTTGAGACGTACGCCATAAGCTAACACCTCGTCTAGGTACCTTCAGCGCCGTCGTGTCTCGTGATGGCCAAAACGACAACCTCCGTGCAGCTTTGGGTAACGCTGATGTGATTGACCTCGTGTCCGATTCCATCAAAAAGTACGCTGTCAACGGAAAGGTCGGCTGCCAAGGAGGCTTCAATCAGTACTCGGTCGCCTCTGCTGGTGCCATGCCTTGCGACAATCCCAATTACCGTCAAGGTGATCAAGTCAACGTCGATTGGACTCTCGCGGCCTCTGCCCCAGATGCCCAGGAGTTGAACAACGCCGACGTTGGTAGCTTCCCGGGCCAGCTTTCTGGTGGCGGCAGCTACTAGACGCAGGTCTCGAAAACACGGATCAGGTAGAGGAGTAAAGGAGTGTATTTGGCACAGCCACTCTGTAATGAGCTTCCACGTGGAAAAAGATACAGATCGGAAGCCACGAGCTTGGCTGCATATACTCTGTAGGATAGCATTAGGCACGCAGTAATGGAATGCATATCCTTCGCAGATCGAGCTCCATCATGGCCAGGCCACAACAGGACCTATGCCATCTGCAGGACTCAAAACACGCTCAATTTCTTCATTTGCGCTCGTGTAAGTGGTGTTTTGTCCTGGGGATTTTACCTTTCTGGAAATCGAATTGTTCCCGGACCTGCAGCAGATTGAAATTAAAAATACAGTCGCACAGGTCCTGATCCTTTCCCGGGAGACATGGATGGTCTCCGGACGTTACGGGGCCCTTGATGGGTGTACCTGGGAGATACCAAGGGGAAGCTTGCGCCCACATTCGGCACGCGAACGGTGTCTAGTAATAAATGTCTGGAGCGACAAGCAGCATCTGCTTTTTCTGTTGCTGCCTGCCGCATTGAACTCCTCTGCCGTCGCTATAGAATAGGGAAGACGCGGTAAGAAGGAGTCCAATCACAAAGCTTTTGATTACCTCGAGTTGTTGCTGGAGCATTCGAGTATAAACATGGCAGATGTCAAGGCGGCTTGCATCCTCAAGGAACGATTCAGGGGCCGAATTTCTACGATTAGATGTGTTAGCTAGTAAAACGATCCGATGATTCTTGCGCCCCGGCACTAGTGTCGAAGTCGGTGAATGGTCCTGGAGATGCCTCACCAACCCGCGTTATGCTTGTACCGAATATTGACCGATCGTAGCACAGCAGACTTCAGACTTCTCATACCTTCACCTTTACATCTCGCAGAGGCTGTGCCAGCACTCCAGATTCTGCGCTATATTCTGACTGGAGCGCATTCTTGTTTGAGAGCCTCATGAGTCTCAAGCGCAAGATGGATGAAACAGAGCGCGATGCACAAGAAGGAGCTCAGCCAAGCAGCACGTACAGTAGGAACGTCCGCAGGCAGCTGACTTGCGAGTACCATGCATCAGACAATGAAATGGTCTACTGGATGTTGAGACGTCCACGAAAGAATCCATCGCTCACAAAGGCGTTCTCTGTCCGGCTTCCCAATCTTTCCACGCTGCCTGTACTAAGGGCTTCCAAGAAACGTCATCTGGACATACCACGGTGTAAGACGACGAAAGGACGACACACTGTAGGATGAATCATTCCTGCGAGATATCCTAGGGTCCGAGGACATCAAAAAGATGTTTCGTGATGAACAACTCGAGGAGAGGACCAAAAGGCCCTACATTCAAGTGCTGCCACGCCGCCTGCACTCGACGATTCAAAGAGACCAACGAAGGCCGCATTCAGGTCGAAGAAAGCGAGGCTGTCATGGATCTCGTCCTTAAGAGCTTCTACGAGCAAACTATCCAGTTCTTCAACCCTGAATTCGACTCGAAGGCGTGGTTCAAGATTGCGGCCGCCGAACCTGACAAGAGTTGGAACGACGCTGTCATGCTCATGACAGGTGCGAGAATGGCGGCTGACAAGGTATCGTTTCCATGGTCCGAGACCAATAAACTCAATTTACCAATGACTGCTCCACTACGACCTGCCAGACCTAGCAGAGAGGGCCAAGAACGAGTTCGGCAGTTACTTCGTGGAGGTTTCCTCGCCTGTCTCTCTTGTCAAGTTCGGCATCCAGCTTTTCCAGCCCGATCTGAAATCTGACAAGAAAATGCACGAGATTGCTGCGCGCCAGATCGGTGCTCGTATGGGAGAGATCACACGAGATCCCGCTGCGTGGAAGGTTGTCTATAGCAACGAGGAGTTGTCGCAATCTGCCCTTACTGACCTGATCGCGCCATCAGCATGGAGGAGACCAGCCAGTGAATGCAACATGCCGAGTGGGGAAGCGATTGAGCGGGACATCGGTAATGAAGTATTTTGCAGAATCGTATTCAGGTTGGCGCGTAGCACATCTGCAAAGATGTGTCAATGAGAGATCTGGAAACAAACGACACTAGGTACTCCATGTACTGTGCTTGTCTGAGGAGAATAGCCGATGAAGCCATCCAGTGTTGCTGGCATTGGGTCTCACAAAGCTATTTCTCGCCATCACGGAGGTACAAGAAGCGCTGATATTGGCGCAAAGTCCATCTTCTGCAGGTCTTGCCCCAAATTATCATGGGTACTGTCGTCAGTTGAAAGAAGAGCGAAAGAACGCCAATCGCGATAAAAGTGTTCCCAAGACCACTCGCGTCGAGCCAATAGCCTTTGTAGTTCTCCGTTAGCAACAGGACACCTCGAGCATTGGGAACAAGAGGTCAGACTTACTGCAGGTAAAAGTTAAAATGCAAGCCAGACTGTTATTGATGACAGCAACTCCCACCATACCTTCGAGGACCATGTCCGGGTACGCATCCATCAGATACGCCATGGACAGGTCGCCCGCACAGCCAAAGCCAAAACCAGTCATAGCGAGTCCAACATACGGAGCAGGCCAATTCCATCCCTTGTCGGATCCGATTCCAAAGAGCATTAGGCCAGCTGGATTGATGAACGCAGAAGCGAACATCAACCACAGTCGATCTTCCGCTTCGGAGATGCCGCCTCTCCTCTTCGCCATCCAGCCCACGAAGACGTCGGAGAAATAACCACCGTATATACAGCCAATGATTGCTCCTATCAGCGTCGGGACATTCATGATCGCGACGGCTTGGTTGGAGTAGTTCCAGGGTGGATCATAATAGTTATCTTCCTCTACTGTGAGATAAAAGGTGAGCCAGGCATCTTGCGAACCCCATTGAAGCCCAGAGTATAGCACCGCGGGGAAGAGAAAAACGCGAAGGGTGTGGAAAAGGCGATAGAAGTACTGCTTGAGGCCTGTGCCGATCATGTTCGGGGCTGGAGTTATGAGAGCAATGCGTTGCCAATAGGTCTTGGGTTGGTCGCGAGGGAAATTTCGCGATTCGGTGGATCCTCTGGTATCCCCAAATACAGTAGGATCGTCTGTTGCTATAGGAGTCTTCGTCTCCGTGGTCTTCTTTTCCTCGTCTGAGATTGGGTGCGAAGGCAAGTTGCCGACATGGTGACCCAAGATGGCTTCACGATGGAAAGCGGTCTCTTCGAGGCCAAAGTAGAAGACGACTAAGGTGGTGCCAGATATTATAACACTGGTCCAACCGATCCATCTCCAGCTATCGATCGCTATATAACCCGCAATCAAGGGGCCTAGGAAAGTGCCGATAGATGTAGCCAAGATGTAGAGACCGAGTACGGTTCCTCGCTGGTGTTGGAAGAAGAGGTCGGACAGAGACAGTTGTGCTACGGCCTCTGCGCAGCTTTCTGATGCCCCAATGAACAGTTGGTTCCATATCGAATCCTGGCTATTCTGTATCCGGGCAAACCAAATCGATCCGATCACGGAAAACAGGAGGCAGATGAGGTACTGGATGCGACGGCCATAGAGCCACGCCATAGGGCTCGCAAGCAACGTCCAGTAGCCAATGGCGAGGAACAGAACGCCTGCAGCGGTGTTTGCCACTCCGTAGGATATGCCGAGCTCGTCCAGCATGCCATCGCCTGCAGCCCCGGCATCGTTAGATGTCGCAGCTGTCAGAGCTGTGATGAAGAGAATGAGAGAAGCGTGCCAATACTTGCGCACTCTACTCCAGTTCAAAGGATCGTTAGGACTGTTCGTTGGCGGAGGCGTCAAGGTGAGTTCCTGGTCTCGCAAATCGCCGCTCTCTCCCTGAACAAACATCTGGATGGTTCCCGGCAGGAATTCGCCATTTTGCTCGGCCATTCTGGTGGTGTGCAAGCCCCACGCAACCACTGCAAGGCGAAGATAAACGTTAGAAGATGTAGGTCAGACGAGCTGAGGATCGAGGTAGCACCGGAATGCAGAACAGGTTTTCCTTCTCGTGCCCGGGTCCCTCAGCTCGCCTTCAGGGCCTCTTACTTGACCTTGTCGTCCTGGCGTATCCTCCGGAGGCCGTCGCGTCGCATGGCAGGGTGTTGTAGGGGTAGATGAGAGAAAGAAAGGCGCTCCATGGCAGATTATTTTCGCCCTATCTCGGCGATGTACGTAGCGCATGTAGAGCCGCGGACGGCTGACATGTTCGCCACTACGGCTTGGCACTTCCTTAAACGGCTAGCTCCCGCTAGTTCTCTGCTAAGGAGTGAATCCTGCATGCTAAGCCCGCCACGTCGCACACGTGTGTCCGTGCGCTAGGTCGTGGCACCTCGTGCCAGCCTACAGCATCATTGCCGCATATTACACTCCCCTTGCATCCCATCGCCTCCTTATCTTGCTTATCTTCTTCTTCCCTCTGCAACTCCAACTCCAAATACTACTCTCCTCAACCTCTGCAGCAGCACGGCACGGTACCAACGCCGCGAGACACAGAAGAAACATCTCCACAGCCGAATGTCAACTTGTCAGCTCAACATGGCCCACCTATACCACGTTCAGCAGAGTATATCGGACAGTTCCCCGAAGAAACCGTCTAATTGTGGCTCCGGCCTGGGCGAGGATGTCAACACCTCAGTCTCTCTCAGCGGGCAGACCTCCCTGAATGACGAGACGCCGGCGGCACCACAGGCTGGCAACCCAGGACCGGAGCAACACAAGAAAAAGGTCATCGTGGTCGGCGCGGGCATCGCGGGCCTGCGCGCGGCGTCCGTCCTCATGCGTCACGGTATCGACGTCGTCGTGCTCGAGGGCCGTGACCGCATCGGCGGCCGCATCTGTACCACCCGGACGGAGAAAGGCGTGCGCGACATCGGTTAGTCTACAAATGCCACAATTTGTAGCTGACACTGAGCTGCAGACCTGCGTGGGTCTGTATGATTGGGCCCTTTGAAAGTATTGAAACGAGCCAAAACGTCATGAGTAGAAGGGCTGCTTCATCACCTCCAGGGAACTTCTGTTTCCTCATTTTTGCACTGCGCTTCGCTAACACATGACATGTTTGTCCTTTTGTAGGTGCCGCTTGGCTGCACGAAACTTCTCAGAACAAACTTGTAAAGCTCATCTCGCGACTCAACATTGATTATTACTATGACGATGGCTTGCCTCTCATGTACACTGAGAATGGGCGTGCCGGAACGCAATTCAAAGCTAAAAAGGTGGCCGACGAGTTTGCAGATTATGCGGAGCATTTCTACGAGAACTGCGCAGACGCACCCGATCGCAGCGTTGCTGACTTTGTGAATGAATTCGTGCAGCAACATGAGCTGATCACCCCCGACGAGCGACTCTGGGCTCCTCAGGCCGTGAAAGAGGTCGAGCTCTGGATAGGCATCTCCACGGAGCTCGCAAGCTCCAAGCATCTCAGTTATTTCATCACGGAACGAAATCTGTACATGAAAGGTGGATACGATGGAATCGTGAAGTGGACGGCGGAACCCCTGCTTCAGAAGCCAGGTACCGTCCGCTTGAACCATACCGTGGATGGGATCACCTGGAGTGAAGACGGATCTACCTCCTGCAGGGTCGGGTACCATGACTCGAACGGAACAACCTCCACCCTCGAAGCCGACGCTGTCGTCTCTACACTTCCCTTGGGAGTTCTCCGCCACGACCTCGTCTCCTTCACCCCACCTCTCCCGTCCGACCTCCAAAATGGCATCTCGCGCTTCAGCTACGGAGCCCTCGGAAAAGTCTTCTTCGAGTTCTCAGACGTCTTCTGGAGCAAAGACAACGATCAATTCATGTTCTACCCTTCCCCCGACATGCTCGACTCGGAAGACATCCTGGGCTCTTCGGCCGGCAGTAGCTCCGCTAGCTCCACCGGCAGCAGCACTACCGACAACATCCTCAACTACGCCACCGTGACCATCAACCTCTGGATCATGACCGGCGCAAACGAACTCTGCGTCCAGATCGCCGAACCCCTCACCCAACGCATCGAAGCCATGACCGACAAGAAGGCCATCTATAAGTTCTTCGAACCGCTCTTCAAACTCCTCCGTACCGAGCCGTACAAGACCCTTCCACAGCTCACGAACGTCGAAGTCACGGCCTGGACGCTGGATCCCTTCGCGGGCTATGGGTCGTACTCGGCCGACAAAGTCGGAGACGAACCGGAAATGCTGATGGCGGCCTTGGAGAACCACAAAGACTCCCGTCTCCAGTTTGCAGGCGAGCACTGTACCATGGTCGCGAATGGATGCGTCCACGGTGCCTTTGCCACCGGAGAAACGGCGGCAAAGAATCTGCTGAATACATTCGGAGTCGAATACGATGGCGGGGATATCGTAAGTCTCAATTAAGAGGGCGTTTGGCAGTGTCTTTTCAGAGTTGTGATATGCGCGCATGGTTTTGAGGCTTATTGATACACACACGAACAGAAGATAAGGATGAGACAGTTGCATTTATGCTGCATTGCGCTTATCATCGCTAGCTAGGAGTTGGGTATAATGCTTGCCTGCTTGCTTTCACGACGTATCTTGCAGAAATTGAACACATCACAAATTCATTTCATTGTTCTAGCTTTACAAGGCTGTCTGCTCCTCAGTCTAGAGGATTCATTATTCATCCACGCACAGCTTCGACGCTACGACACAAATGCCCGGTTCCGATTCACGACGTCACACATGCCATCCACAAATCGAGCAACGGGATCCTCATCTCTCTGCGCCGTCTCAATCAGCGTGAGAATCTGCTTGATACCAACGTTGATTTCCGAGCTACCCGTGGTCTGTTGGATGTCCGAGAGGGCTTTTCGAATACCATCATCGTCGAATTGTCCACTGTGCTGCATCACAGCGCCGAGCTCTTGTGCGCTGCGGAGATAGGGAACGGCAATTTCAGCATCAAATTCCAGTTCCAGTTGCTGCAGGACTGTTCGCTTCGAGCATGTTGCGAAGATGAGGAGTGGTCGGTCTTTGGGAGGTGGATTGTTCATGAAGCCCTTGAGAGCAGCAAGGACGGCGGAAGAGAAGCGCGGGCCCACGGGAACCCAATCCAGCATGAGATCAATGTCGTCGAGTACGAGTAAGTTTGAAGGCGACTTGTAAGCGTCCGTAAAGATCTTGCTGAGGTGCTGTATTTTTTGAATTTCATTCATGCCAGCCATGTCGACCGGCCGCACCAGCTTGATAAAGGGGAATTCGGATTTCTGGGCGATATGCGCAGCCATTGCGGTCAGGCCGCTCTTCGAGGGACCGTGTAGAAGAACAGAAAGCAGTTCTGTGTCCCCTGAGCGTACTTGTCGGACGTAGTCGCCGCCGTACTTGATGATCTTGTCGATTTGCGGTCCAAAGTGAATGATGCCCTTGCGAGTTGCCACCTCCAGAGCCTCATCGTTGACACCAAACAGAGGTTTGACTTCTTGCAGCGCAGACACAAAATCCTGCATGTGTATCTGCATCTCATTGATATCGTCTGACAACGCAGCAACCGTGCCGCCTTTGATGTGACGTTGCAGAGCAAAACTGCTCGCCGACTTTACGAGGCCGCTGATTTCCGCCCCAGAGAAGTTTCGTGTGCGGCGCGCTAGCTCTGCAAGATCAACATCACTGGCCAACTTGCCATTCTCCGCCATCTTGGTGGTGTGGATCTTCAGAATCTGTTGTCGACCTGGCTCGTCGGGTAGACTGATCTCCATGTGTACTTCCAAACGTCCAGATCGCAGTAGAGCCTCGTCGATCATATCTTTGCGGTTCGTCATTCCAATGAGCAGTAGGTTGTTGAGTTGTTCAACACCATCCAGCTTGGATAGAAGCTGATTGACCACGCTGTCACCCACTCCGGTACCACCGCCAGCACCCGAGCCACGCTGCTTACAAACAGCATCCAGCTCGTCAAAGATGATGATGTGCAGCCCACTCTCATCGCCTTTCTCCTTTTGTTCCTTCTCGGCATCGGCAAACAGCTTCCTGACGTTCTCTTCGGATTGTCCAACGTACTTGTTGAGCACTTCCGGGCCATTGATGACCTTCGGCTCCCTTGCGTTGAGCATTTTACCGATTTGCCTAGCGATCAATGTCTTTCCCGTACCTGGTGGACCGTATAGCAAGATACCGCGCACGTGCTGGATGCCTAGCTTGTCGGCCAAGCCAGGAGGGAATATACGCGAGGCAAATGCTCGTCGGAAGATGTCGCTGAACTCTTTGTCGAGACCACCAATGCCCAAGCTCTCAAACTTGAAGTCCGGCCGAATGACTGCGTTGGCTGCAGGCCGTTTATTCGATCCCTTGAGCTGAATCGGCGATTTGGCATCCTTGAAGAAGTTGATGGTGGTTTGAGGTGTGAGTATTCCTCGCGCTTGAGGATGCGTCTGTTGTTCACCCGCCTGCTCCATCCGTGACAGGTCTACAAGTTCCACGGTTTTCACCTGTAATTTCAGCTTTGCCACTCGTGCGTCAAGACCAAATGTCTGACCAGGCGCAAAGATCTGGTTTTGCAGCGTGTTGATCAGGTGCTCTGCCAATTGGTCCTGATCGAATGGAGGCACATTAGGAGGAGCGGTCCTGGTCGCGTATCCGATCTCCACGTCCATGTTACCCAAATACGCCTGACCACCCTGTCTGAACGGATCAAACACTTCTGCCTCTACAGTATCCGTAAGGGCAACTTGCATCCATGTACGCTGAAAGTCGTTCATCCCGATTTGTCCTCGCTGGATTTGCGGATGCGATCTAGCAGTTACGACATATCTGTCATTCATGAGGAGATATGTCTCCTCACCTCCTTGCCCTCCTACATCTTGCGTGCTCACTCCGCATACATTCGAGAAGACCCATTCCTGCGGGCATTTGCACGGTTGCAAACGCATCCTCTGTCCTCCTCTTGGCTTTTCCGGATAGCCTTGTCTCGGGTCATCGGCATATCGCGGTTGCGTTTGACGGGAGGGCTGGCGCGGTGCCTGGCCTGGTTGTGTCTGTCCTGGCGGTGCTTCTCGCCGGTTCCCAAATAAGTTCTCCCTGTTGAACATGGTGGATTTCGGCTGCTCGGCAGCGAGAAGGCAAGGCGATGTCGTGGAGATGTGACTGGACACGCTGGTCTAGAGGATACGAGGATCGTGGCGTCTTGGGAGTATTGTGGCCAGGTATGTGGAAGAAGACAGCTGCCTTGTCTGTCTGTCACATGCATTATTGGCTCCCGCCTCCCGCTCCCGCTGACGTCGGAATGTCCAGAGACAGGGTTCACACGTGGTATTGATGCCTCAGGCATCCATACATCAAACCTTCGTCTCTCACGTGTCTGTTCCAGGATGTCTAGACCATCAATCATCAATCATCCAACATCTCGATACATATTCGCGCGGCTCGCATCGACGCCAACACCAAAGATGTAACGACCAACCATCCAAATTGTCTCCGCATGGCGCAGTATGATCTCGACTGCTGCTGTGGCTGATTTTGCACTGTCCGACGCGCCATTGTCCTGACTGTTGATATAAGACTGCACTTTCTTCAACATTCTCATCGTTACACAAGCCCTACGAGAAGTGGCCATGATGGTCGAACGGAGAAGGCGTTTCGAATGACGTGGTCTGTCCCAGTTTCTTGCACTGAATCTTGCGCTAACATGAGCGTTTCCAACTGCCCCAGCCACAGAAACGCTCTCCGCATGCTTTAAGGTTCGTGACGGAGTCGTGACGACCATGTGCAGTGAACGATGAGGCGGAGAACGGTGCGGATTGTCGATAGGTCTCGATACACGATCAAGACTGTCCAAGAATGTGTCCAGCACGTGTCACGACGAGAGATGGAGCGTGAATTGGCGGTTCGGCCGAACGGACGAAGAGGTGAGAGTGAGCAGAATGAATGATAGAATGAACCATTGGCTGATGGGAAAGACGTGAAGTCCGTGTTGTGGCACAGGTGGTAGAGTCCGGACGGGAGTGGCAATGTCATCGCCTCTTTCTGAGCCTCCTTGAGGCTGGACTCCGAGATTAGGTTGCTGCCAGAGCCGGAGTGAGGCAAGCGGCACACGAGATGGTCTAAGATGGCGTCCGTAGCTGGTGACATATGGCGCTAAAAGTGCATGGCAAACCAGCCGCCCCACACCATGTTCGAGTGCACATGCCAGTTGTCGTCAGTCGAGACGGCGGTCACTCATCGAGACGGCTTGGACGGCTATCGGAAGGAGCAGCGCAATGGGTCCATATACCACGGCCGCCAGTCCGCATGCTACACCACGCTACCCTCACCGAGCACGCTCCGACTGGAGGCTCACTGATTGAGAGCCAAATCCAGAGGCATCGTGAATATCAATGTGAGCCAACGTCGAACGGCCATGCCCGCCTAAGATATTGACCATTCGCCTCCTAGACTCCCCTCCAAGGTGCCTCTATCGCCATCCCTTTCACGAAAGCCGCCAATCCAGACAAACGTCACGAAGTAGAAGATGGTGCAGCTCGCATTCCCTTCGCCCATCGCATCCCCGATGTGATTCGCAATCACTTCGTCGCCATGTGCGCCGAGTATGTCGGCACCGTGTTGTTCCTCTACTTCGCCCTTGGAGGAACCCAGGTCGCGAACAATATTCCCACCTCCTCCGGTGAAAGCGTCAAGCAGGTCGGCAGCAACCCGGAGCAACTCCAGTACATCGCCCTCTGCTTCGGCTTCTCCCTCGCCGTCAATGCCTGGGTCTTCTTCCGTATCTCGGGAGGCTTGTTCAATCCGGCCGTCACCTTTGGCATGTGTCTCATCGGTGCTCTGCCCTGGGTCCGAGGCGTTCTGCTTTTCGTTGTACAGATCCTCGGCGGGATGACAGCCGCTGCACTCGTCAGCTGTATGTTCCCGGGCCAATTGGATGTCCAGACCACTCTTGGAGGCGGCACGACGGTCGTCCAAGGCCTCTTCATCGAGATGATCCTCACGGCAGAACTCGTCTTCACCATCTTCATGCTGGCAGCAGAAAAGCATCGAGGAACCTTCATCGCCCCCGTCGGCATCGGTCTTGCGCTCTTCGTGGCCGAATTGGTAGGCGTCTACTTCACAGGAGGAAGCCTGAATCCAGCGCGATCGTTCGGTCCCGCTGTGGTGAATCACAACTTCCACGGATACCACTGGAGTAAGTCACCTGCCGCTCGCACTCAACAATCACAGCATCTAATGTAACCTTCTCAGTCTACTGGGTCGGCCCCCTCCTCGGCGCAATCGTAGCATCAGGCTTCTACAAATTCATCAAAATTCTCGAATACGAAACCGTTAACCCAGATCAAGACACCGACAAGAGCAAAGACGAGCGACCACAGACCTCGCAGAGCTTCGAGGGCAGACACTCGTACGAAGATTTCGCGCACAACGAGACAAAGTCTGTCCCCGAGAACGATGCCCACGGGGCTTTGCAGCCACCATCGTCCACCCAGATTGGCACAGCCACTGGAAATGGCCATGCCGGCGATGGTGTGAGAAAGTTGAACAAGGCGCCAGTTACGCGGCTTGAGAGGACTTGCTGTACACATATTCATGCTTCTGCCTGATACATGCATTTGTACATACACCCCTAACCGTACACAAGCATCGCATTGTTTTTCGAAGCACAACCAAAGCGTTTCTTTCCGCCTCAACTCCAACACGTACATCTCCATTCGCTTTGCCGCTCTCACTCAATTGAAATTGAACGGATTCCTGCAAAGCGGACAGGTACTGGCATTGCTAGTCTTGAACCACTTGAGCAAACAGCTCGAATGGAACAAATTCTTGCAAGTCGGACAGCGCTTGGTGGGAAGCTGCTTATCCCCGCTGATGATGGAGTAGCAGATGGCACATTCGGTCTGGCCCTTGAGAGCGCCGGTGACGTTTTTGCGCCAGGCAGAGAGGCCGTCTGTGATACTGCCGTTCTGTAAAGCTTCATTAGTAGGATATCGCAATCCTTTGCAAATGTGGATCTTACCGAGAAAGTGATGACGCCCTGGCAATTTCTCAGCCAGCTCTGCCATTTTTCCTCCTTTACAGCGACGCGGTGGACGGTGACGACTTTGGCTGAGTCGAGCGGATAGGTATCCGGCAGAATGACTTTGATCGCCATCGTCTGTTCGTCCACCAGGTAGCTGACGTTGATTTCTTTGCTACGCATGCCGACTTTGACTGTCATGTTCTCGTAATCCGGGTCGTCTTTGACGCTCTTCTCGGCCCATTCGGCAACAGACTGAAGACTGTATGACACAATGAGTGGCGAGATGTACTTGGCTGTCCAGCTCTCGATAGCTTGGGAAGTCTGTCGAGATCGAATGTCGAGGAAGTAGCTCTTGACCAAGCTAGGCAGGTGCGAAAGAGCAAGATAATAGAGATGTGACAAAAGCCACTGCACGTCCTTCTCGGGGCTGGAATCCATGTCGGCAACGAATTCCTGGATATCGAACTTGGACGCGTCAACAGGTCTTCCACGTGTGTGGCCCAGAAAATCAAAGATCAGATCCAGCAGTCCCTTCAGGTACCCCCCCTCCTTGATCTGCTCAACATAATCGCTCTTAACGCGGTAGCTAGAGCCGCTGAAGTGATCAAACAGTACGCGCCAACTGTACAGAAAGCCTTGCAGCGACAATGGCATCGCTCTCTCGAAGGAGGCATCTGCTAGTGAGTCCAGCGTGGGCGCATCGATGACGAGGGACAGCAGCTCATCTGGTAGCTGAGCAGTCTTGTCGTCCAAAGCAGCATCGAAGGAGATCTGCTCTTGTGCCGCCGGGATCTGCCTGTGGAGGAGATCAAAAGCAGCTCCCTGTACCGCATGCGAAGGCGTGTAGAGTAGTGGAAACAGCTCTTCGACATCCGGAATAGGCTTGAACGGTACTCTTGACAATTCTCGAGCCAGAAGTTCGTTTGTCACCATCAGAGGCTGATGAGTTTCATCCGACATACCGCTCGAGGATTTCAGCACCGCAATGAGTCCCTCATGCAGCTGAGTCTTGTTCTCCTGTAATGCCTCAACGAGATCATCGTTGGGCTCTTCCGATTTGCTAAGCTTATACAAAGCGCCGTACAGCTTGAGCGACGCATGAAGCAACAAGACGCCAGATTCGGAAATGACGGGCTCGTCTGACAATGTTGCAAACAATGGAGAAGAGCCCCAAGATGTCGTGAGGAAGCGGAGAATTTGGGCCCAGTGTTCACCGTACATGTCGGCAATGTGTAACGTGAGATACGACAATGTCTTGCAAACTTCAGCTTTGAGGGGCAGCCATGCATCGGCTTCTAGCCAAGACAAGATATGCTTCGTGAAGAAGATTACTCTTGTCTTTTGGACTGTGGCGATGACGCCTTCTTGGGTTTGCAAAATCGAATTCAGGAGAACAAGCAGCTCCAGCGCAGCCTGCTCTCTGTTTTCGACTTTCAGTTCTGTGAGGTCCGCAACAAGCTCATTGCAAAGTCGCGTGAGGGCTTTGCTGCCTGAGAGCGGATGACCAAAGCCAACAATAAAAGATACAAGAGCAACAGTATCTTTCGCAGCTCGCATCGATTTGATTGCATCGTCACTTGTCTTCGCTTGTTCACTCGAGTAGCCGTGTATCTCGAACAAGTTTTCGTACGCTTTGGCAAGTACTACATTGACGTAGTAGGCCATGGGCGATGCGTGATGGTGTTGAGTTCGGAGACCATCAAGTACAGCAAAGAATGGTACCCGCTCATTGTCAGCCGCTCCAACCGGCAAGCTCTCCCAGTATTTCTTGAGGGCTGAATTGGCATCTGAGACAAAGTCCATGACCTCCGTGTCCACGGCTTCGCCTGCTGTTGGAATCCATAGCCTGTTACCCCCCACGATGCTCGTGTTGTCTTCTGCGAGTTGCACGCAGATGTCCAGAAGTGCAAGGATCGTGTTCAGATCGTTTCCCAGTTTGGCCGCAAATTCAGGTCTGAGCAGCATCTTCGCGAGATACATGGCAATTCTGAGAGCCTGAGAAAGACCTTCGCCATCATATTGAACTGCGTCATTAGCGTTGGTTGCATCGGATTGCACCAGATGCACTGCTCCACCAAGTGGGCTCAACATGCTCAAAGACGCTGTAGGCGGCTTCGTAGCCGCCGATATGGACCGTTGCCACACCTCAATGTTAGGCATCAACTCCTTGCCATCGGAACTTTCTGAGCCATCAACGATCTTGTTCGCAAGGTCGATCAGAGCATCCATGGTGAGTGAGCTGCGTGAAGCTTGCTCCAAGTTCTGCATCAACATGCTGTACTTCGCATCGTTTGCCGCTTCGCCCATGGCAGACGACAGTCGACTGGATAGAGAACTTGCTTTCTCGGCCACCCCATCATCTGGGGACTGTTCCAAGCGCAACACGCTTGGTAGCAGCTCTCTACCGGATCCAGTTTCCATGAAGGCCTGAACAGTAGAAGGGCTCTTCATGGCTAATTTTTCCAGCGACTCGAGACCCGAGTGAACTTCTGGTCCCAAGAGTGATAATGTCGCGGTCAATCCCGACAACAATTTATCACTAGTATCCTGAGAGGTGACATCGAGCTTCACCAGATCGAACTGAAGATTTTGTGTTTCAGCATTGTCCCTCCCAGCAGGCAGTGCGCAGAGAAACCCCTGCAGTGCTTCAGATGATCGAGCGAGCGCAACCGCGTTTTGTGGTGTAGTCGAAGGAAACAGAGCATGCAATGTTCGGATCTTGACCTCTCCAGCTTCAGGTGCATCCAATATCGCTGCAAGTGTAGCCTCGAAGGCGCTCTGAAATTCCGGCAGATCTTTCACGGCATAGAGGCAGCGCGCCAGATGCCTTTGTGATGGACTGAACATGATTTTTGGAAGCTCGTCTTGCACGAATGCCATCAGAATCTGTTTAAACTCTTCATCGCTCATGAAAATTGAGCCGCATGCTCGTAATTGCTCCTCGATGATAGCAGCGGCACCGTAAGGCTTCCCATTACGACTCTTGAGCAGCGACGTGCATCCCTTCAGAATTTCTAGGTTTGAACTAAGGAAAGTCGACTTCAGGGACTCTGGCAGGGTATAGTCTCCGGCATAAAAATCTCGCTGAAGCCCAGCCCAGCGTTCTCCTGAAGATGCAACGTGTTTCTGCGATTTATCAAAGTCCTTTGACTGTTCCGGCTGAGACATCCTCGCCGCCTCAATCAGCTTTTCCGCCAAATGAGGCCATTTGCGCTCGAGCAAAGGCGGGAGCCGCTTTACCAAAGCTGCGCGTGACACAAGAGAAGCAGCTTTGGCACCGATAATACTCCACTTTGCGCTCTCCTCGGCAGGGTGCAAGTACTGGTTTATCGGTGGCATAGCAAAAGCCTCCAGCAGGTCTTCACAAACAGAATCAGGAAGTGGCGTTGTCACTACATGGACCAATGTGAAGTACGTTGGCCATGCAGACGATGCATTGAAACGTTCTTCTTTCCTCGCAACGCCGTCTCGAGCCGCAACCAGCAAGTCTGCAACCTCATCGTAAGTTGTGGGCAGCGTCTCCGCTGGTAAGTTTCGGAGAACATTAGCCATTGAGTACCAGTATGCTGCTGTACTCGAATGCGAGCCATGCTTAAGGCCTTGTTGCAGACGAGAGATCGCAGACTTCTTGCCAGAATAATAATCTGTCCACAAAGAAGGATACTTTGTGGTTAGAGCATCCAAGGTTTGTACGAAGTCCAAAGCTGAGCTGGTCTGGTCGGATGTTAGCCCCTTATAGATATATGCTTTGCTCACGGCTTTGAGGTTATTCTCGATAAGATCGGGAGTTCTTGCGAGACATGTTTGTACAAGCCGGTGTATCGCTCGACGGACGCCAGCGTCAGAATGCGATGCCAGATCCCAGATTCTGCCGTCGCCGAGGACGAGCTCATACACATGGTTATGCTTCGAAACCTCTTCTGTTGGTAGTGTCTCCAGCAAGCTTGTGACAACGGCGATGCTTGTCGAGACGACTCGGGCGTAAGTAGCTTCTGCATCGTCCTTGCTGACAGTGCGCTCGTCGCTGAGAGTCTGCACTGTCTCATTGAGGAGTGCTTCTTTACAGTATTCCAGTATAGATTCCTGGAAGGTCTTCCGTAGGCCAATCGACTTTTCTGGGGTTGGAAACACGGTGGCAAGGGCGTCTTGAGCAGCTCTCGCAGCGGCTCGATCCACGTCAAAAGTGCCGGCCAGCCACGGACCTGACATGCGTGGCAAATGCTTGGCTATTCGCTTGCCACATTTGGCGCACAGTTGTCCATTGAAGTTGTGGGCTAGTTGACGTACTCGTCGCGCGCTATCAATGGAAAGGCGAGGGAAGAGTTTGACCTAGAAGGGATCCGTCACTACCTACGCTCACGATCGACAACATACTAAGACGCACCCATATTTCGACAACCGCGTCCTCGACGTCGCTGTTATTCGAGATCAACGCGGCCTGGAGATCTTCTAGCGCTTTCGCCTTGGTCGTGCTGTCTTTCTTGGACAAATTCTTGAAGGCCACGACCAAGTTCGAATCACTGATGAGAGAATAATCGGGCGGCTCCTGAATGCAAGAGAGCGTCGATGCCTGCGAGGATCCGAAACCAGCGCTTCCAAAGGCTCCAAATCCGCCTCCAGCCCGGCCGCTGCTGGCTTGTGATTTGAATTGTCGTTTGCTCATGTCGTCGCTCTGGCAGACCCCCAACGCCGGCTGGCGAGGAAGAGGAGGAAGAGGAGAAAGGAGGGGATGAGGCGGGCGATACTGTCTCTCGCCAATAGAGTCTCGAAAGAGCGTACTGGTCTGGTCTGGTCTGGTCTGGTCTGGTCGTTTCCCCCGGCCAAATTCTGTGTCGCATCTGCCCTTCTTGATGACGTTGGGTTGGCGCTTGTGCTTCTCTAGCGTGACTTGAGTCAGGTCAGATCACGTGCTCACGTGCCGTCGCGCGAGTCGAGTACGGTTACATGTCTCCTCATTCGCCCTTGGTCCATCACTTCTTCAACCAACAACACCACCGCTGCACCACCACCACCACATTCATCGCCGTTAACGAAGCAACTCCATATTGGAGACTTTTGATGGTGCCAGGATACTCATTAGAGCCAGATCCACCTCTAGCGGAGGCGACGGAGGAGTCTCCGCAAGGAGGCTGCCTTCGGTGGCGGTCTTGAGGCGCGACAGAGATCACAGCGTGTTCGTGCATCGCAACATTATCTCGGGAACTATCCGCCTCGCTGTTTCCCTGGATTTTGCGGGGATTTCTCGCAAGACAGTACCAGTTTGCGGCGGAACGACGCTGCAGCGGCACCGGCAACATGAAGTTCTACATTGAGGATCTTCCGGTTCTGTTCCCGTATCCGCGGATCTATCCCGAGCAATATGCTTACATGTGCGATCTGAAGCGCACCCTCGATGGCGGTGGCCACTGTGTGCTGGAGATGCCCTCGGGAACGGGCAAGACCGTGTCTCTGCTGTCACTAATCGTCGCCTACCAGCAGTTCTACCCAGAACATCGGAAGCTGATATACTGCTCCCGGACCATGTCCGAGATCGAGAAAGCCCTGGCCGAGTTGAAGGCTCTTATGAAGTACCGTGCGGATCAGCTAGGCGAAGCGGAGGATTTCCGGGGACTCGGACTTACAAGTCGAAAGAACTTGTGTCTTCATCCGTCCGTCAAACGAGAAAAGAGCGGGTCAGTCGTCGATTCGAGATGTCGCAGTCTGACAGCTGGCTTCGTGAAGGAAAAGAAAGAACGCGGGGAAGACGTACCAATCTGCATCTATCATGACAATCTCGACCTGCTCGAGCCTCACAACCTAATACCTCCTGGGGTATGGACACTAGACGGCATGCTCCGGTATGGAGAGCAGCAGAAGCAATGCCCCTACTTCACAGCACGGCGCATGATGCCATTCTGCAACGTAATCATCTACTCCTACCATTACCTGCTAGACCCCAAGATTGCGGAGCGAGTGTCCAAAGAGCTTTCGAAAGATTGCATAGTAGTCTTTGACGAGGCTCACAACATCGACAACGTTTGCATCGAGTCTCTGAGCATCGACTTAACGGAAGACTCCCTTCGAAAGGCAGCCAGAGGCGCAAGCAACCTGGAGAAGAAAATCACCGAGATGAAGGACACGGATGCTGAGAAGCTGCAAAACGAATATGCAAAGCTGGTTGAAGGACTGAGGGAGGCAGACGAGGCACGGGATGAAGGGGCCTTCATGTCCAATCCTGCGCTTCCCGACGATCTCCTGAAGGAAGCTGTGCCTGGTAACATTCGTCGTGCAGAGCATTTCACCGCCTTTCTGAAACGATTCATCGAATACCTGAAGACGCGAATGAAAGTGTTGCACGTCATCTCAGAGACACCACCCTCGTTTCTCCAGCATCTCAAGGATTTGACCTTCATCGAGAAGAAGCCACTTAGATTCTGTGCGGAGAGATTGACCTCGCTAGTGAGAACTCTGGAGTTGACCAACATCGAAGACTACCAACCTCTGCAAGAAGTTGCAACCTTCGCCACGCTCGTCGCAACATACGACACCGGCTTTCTGCTCATCCTGGAGCCCTACGAATCAGACACGGCGACGGTCCCCAATCCCATCCTCCACTTCACTTGCCTGGACGCCGCAATAGCCATGAAGCCTGTATTCGATCGCTTTAGCTCGGTCATCATCACTTCAGGAACCATCTCCCCATTAGAAATGTACCCCAAGATGCTTGGCTTCTCGACAATTGTGCAGGAATCGTATGCTATGACTTTGGCCAGAAGGTCTTTCCTGCCCATGATCGTTACCAGAGGATCGGATCAAGCCCAAATCTCGTCAGGCTTCCAGACTCGAAACGATCCAGGAAACGTGCGCAATTACGGCAACCTGCTGATCGAGTTCTCCAAGCTCACTCCGGATGGAATCGTAGTCTTCTTTCCCTCGTATCTCTACATGGAGAGCGTCATCTCCCTGTGGCAAAGCATGGGCATTCTGGACCAAGTCTGGAAGAGCAAGCTCATTCTCGTCGAAACTCCCGACAGTCAAGAGACATCACTCGCGCTTGAGACTTACCGCACTGCGTGCAGTAACGGCAGAGGAGCAGTGCTACTGTGTGTCGCTCGAGGCAAGGTCTCAGAAGGTATCGATTTCGACCATCACTACGGCCGCACTGTGCTGTGCATCGGTGTTCCATTCCAGTATACCGAGTCAAGGATTCTGAAAGCTCGATTGGAATTCTTACGGGAGACATACCGCATCCGTGAAAACGACTTCTTGTCTTTCGATGCGATGCGGCACTGTGCCCAATGTTTAGGACGTGTCTTGCGAGGCAAAGATGACTACGGAATCATGGTATTGGCAGACAAGCGATTCGCCAAGAAGCGGAATCAGCTACCCAAGTGGATAGCTGGTGCTTTGATGGAGGGCGATGCGAACATGTCCGTGGACCAAGCAGTTGCCGCAGCGAAAAAGTTCTTGAAGACAATGAGCAAGCCTTTCCCTGCGAAGCTTCAAGAGGGTATCAGTACTTGGAGCTACGAGGATCTGATGGCGCATCAAAGCAAACTCGACGCCGAGAAATATCGCGAGCAAAGGAACGGCGAAGGCAATGGAGACGGACACATCCACGGCGATCAGGTCATGGCAGACGCCCAAGCAGATGAAGAGGAGATGTATAATGATCCAGACGTGGATGCTGCGATGATGGAGCTCGACAACAGATAGCCCTATAGGTCAGCATAGGAGGTGCAGCTCAGCCACGTGCCCGAGATCATGTACCCGACACAGAGAGAGAGGAAAGGCAGAGACCCATCCGGTTTGCCCAATGTAGGATAGGTACCGTTGAAACGTTATGTCTGAAATCGTTCAACGGCCAATGTCTCAATATCCATGATGTCAACGATCCGAGGAATAATGACGTTTGGCAATTCTTCACCTGCACCCTTCAAACAGCTTTGGCCGTTTAATATCTCAGCAAGCACGCGACAACATACCGAACAAATAGCCATCAGAATATTCCAACTCATCCAAAATGTCTTCCAAAACCCCGTAAGTCCGCCTGTACGGGAAGATGAACGCGCAGACCAGTTTCTAACTCCTCTATTAGAGGCGGCCAAGCAGCTTCCGCTAAATTCCAGAAACAACAAGCCGAAAGTACGTGGCCCTCGTAGGTCCGCCATGCAAATGTGCAAGTCTGTTAACATGCACTGTCAGGCAAAGGGCTCGGCGCAGACAACGCTCCCGGTCATAAAGAAGGCAAAGTCCCAGGCGAGGCACCGGTGGCATCCGATTCCGGATCCTCTGCGGTCGGGATCGAGCATGGGACCAATCAGCCTGGCGAGAAAGGCATCAGTGGCAAGCCGGTATCGTCTCAGCCGGAGGGCGGTTCGTCGAATATGAAGTAGAAGCTGTCGACACGACAGAAGAAGCCGCAATAGAACGACTGCCTTAGAAAACTTTTGCTCACAATTTCATCTCCGATGCACATGGTGCCCCAACTCGTCGGTACACGGTCTCTTCTGGGTTTTTGGAAGACCCTCCTACTAGCTGCGCATTTCGGTTATATCATCCTAGATCCCGTCTAGACTCTAGATCGCCACCGTGCGAGTATGTATGTCTAAGCATGATTCTGCCTTACACCGCCATCAATGACCATCAAATTGCCGTTGCAATACCCACCAGCCTTGCTCGCAAGATACAGCACAGTACCCGCCAGCTCTTCCTCATTCCCCATCCTCTGTCTCGGAACGAGAGACTTGGGCATCACGCCTCCCGATTCCTCGTACGTCTTCTGCACAGCGCTCGTCATATCCGACGGGAACCCTACAAACGAACAAAACAGAGAAACAGTCAGCTCCCCCCCTCTTCGCTTCAGAACCGCCAGGGGCAGGGACGGGTTGTTTTGGGGAAAAAAAAACTTACATCCCGGAGCGATGACATTCGTCCTGATATCATGCGGAACCAAGAAATTGCCCAGATTGTGCATCAGATGATGCACGGCCGCTTTACTCGCGTTGTAAATGAAGGAATCTGTAAATCTCAAGATACCCCCCGCGGATCCGATGGCGATGACTTGGCTGGTGGGGGATTCCTTTGCGCGTCGCTTGTTGCCTGCATCGAGGAGCTCGAGGAAGCCGATGGTGGTGGTGAAGACCGCCGCGACGTTGGTTTCCAGGGTCGTCTTCCAGATGCTGTCGGGACGGTAGTTGAAGTAGTAGTCCCTGATCTCCTGGATGGAGGATTCTCCGGTGGGTTTCGGACGGGGATTGGGATCGGAGTCCTTGGTTGTTTGGCCGGCGTTGCAGATGAGGAGGTCGATGTAGCCGGTCTCTTTGGTTACGAAGTCGACAGCTCGCTGGACGTCGTCGTGGGAGGAGACGTCCCCTTGGATCGGGATGATATTGCCATGGGCCTACAGACGATCAGTGTGTTGAAGCTTGATCTGTTGAGTCGGTTGATGGAAGCTCACGGCTTCTTTCACGGCCTGGTCAAGCTTCTCCTTTCGTCTCCCCGTGATAAACACCTTAGCACCATTGTGCTCTAGCGTCTTCGCAATAATCAACCCCAGTCCTGTACCGCCTATACAGAGTCACATCATCAGCGTTTCCGTTTACCCATCCAACTCTCTTACTCACCTCCAGTCACCACAGCTACAAGCCCCTCAACATCATTCAATTTCTTCGGGTCAAAAATGGACCCCATGTTCGAAATAGCACAAAAGTTGACAATACCGGGGGACCAGTAATAAGAATGTAGAGAGAAAGGCGTGTCGGCCCTGGATCCTAAGAGTCGGGGTCCGAAACGGGCGTTGCGTGTTTATGTAAGCCTGCATTTCATCCTAGGGCCTCGGGAAGAGGAGCCGACGGGGTGGATACAAACGCTGAGTTGTGCATGATGTTCTGATCATATCATTGGGAGTAATATGTATGGATGTTGAGTGACGCGTGAAGCTGATGTCCAAACAAGGTCAGATCCCAACGCTGGTAACCGATGTCAAGCCGGACATCCTCTGGAAAGATGATGGATACTGTTCATCACCCTCGTATTCTATTCGAACAAAAGACATCAAGAGAGTCAACATCACTTCCTCTTTCCACCCCTTCCCCCTCTCCCACCTCTCCCTTTCCCTCCGCCGCCCTTCCCTTTCTCCGCACCACCACCACCCATCATAACCCTAACATTTCTGACAGGAATCACACCCACAACCTCTGCCTCCTTCAACCCCTTGATCAATTCCGCCTCTCTCGGCCAGATTCTCTCCGAATCCTGGCTCTGATGATCAATTGTTTTCGAATCACTTGCGTCTTTGGTCCACTTGCCCAGGATCTCCCGCGTAGCCTTGCCCTTCTTCTGCTGTCCAGGCTGCATCTTGGCCTTGTATTTGTACTTGGTCAAGGAGCCCCAGGGAGCGCAGATGGGGATCGCTTCGAGAATCTCGTCGCCGGGGAGAGGTGTGCCGACCAAGGAGTCGATCTGGGTTAGCTCGCTGGATTCTTCCTCGTTCAAACTTTCGACGCCTTCTTCCAGATTGAGTCGACGAATCTCTTCGGCTTCCAGACCTTCCTTCTGGGCCTTTTCGTGTTGTGCTCGCCGGCGAGCTCGAGCTTCTTCGGCGGATTCTTTTTGCTCCGCTTTCCCTTCTGCGGCTTGTTGTCTTCTATCTTCGCCTGCTTTTGAGCCGAGTAGCTTCATTGCCAGCTGGCGGTCCTCTTCGTCCTGATCGGCGTACTTTTGTGCGATCTTCTTGTTCTTGCCCTTTCTACCACGAGCGCCCTTGGAAGGCTTGACCTTCTGTTCGTTATGAATAGGCTTGCCCAATGCGAGACGATTGGCCATTCTTCGCTCCTTATTTGTGAGCTGAGGGGCGTCCTCAGTGGGTTGATCTCCTCCGTCTTCAGCATCAGCTGGAGCCTCGCCCTTCTCGGGAGTATGTTTAGACTCATCGTCCCCATTCTCGACTTTGTTTGCCGACTTCCGGTCCTCTTCGTCTCCAGTTTCGCCTTCGTCCTCTCCATCCTCATCTTCCTCTGCAGTCTCCTCATGCCTTGGCTGCTGAGCGCCGGATGCAGCCCCATTCATTTGCAGCGGGTTGCTCTGCCCGAATCGATACTCCCGCTCTTCATCTCCATGCAAGCCCTCCTCTCCTTGCGCTTCAGGCGACTCATCGTCTGTCATCTCGTCTTGCGGTGTTTGTGCATCCGGAAACTCATCATCATCATCATCCTCTTCGGCCCGTGGCGCAGCTTCAGCGTCTGGAAATTCGTCATCTTCACTTTCCTGGTCATCGTTGCCTTCGTCCGTACCCGACGTCCCACTCGTCAGCTCTGGCGTAGCTAGAGAGTCTGCTGGCCGCTCTTGTAGTCTATGCTTTACATGCCGCGCTTTGCTCTCCTCACTGATCTGAAACACGATGCCAAATCCGAGCAAAAGCTGCGCGGGCGGCAGGAAGTTCTTCTTCCCACGGACAGTGAAGCCTCCAGTCGTCAGATACTCTCCCGTGGGAGCAGTCTTCGAGACTTGATCGGCATTGACCCACCAAGCCGACATAACAGCCTTGCTATCCCACGCAGTACTCGTGCACACGGCAAGGTTACCGGCTTGCGAGAGCGTCGAAGGAGGTATTGGCGCCTCCGGTGTAGACGGATTGTTTTTGATAATGATACTGGCAGCACCATGCATATCCGCGTGTACGTACACGTCTCCCTTCCTCAGGTACCTTCGGTACAAGATCTCATTCTGCTGAGCATCCTTACCAGCAAGAACAAGATACCCGTCGGAAGAGACGAAGTAAATAAACTTTTCGAACCAGAACTGTTTTCGCACGGGTCTCAAAATGTCTTTCTCCTGCTTCAGACCCTTCTTGAGATCCGACATGACTTTTTGCTCAGTTGATCTCAGCGCTTTCTGCGAAGCTTGTGCGGTCTTCTCTTGTTTGACGGCTGCTGTTCTTCGCTGGTCGTAATATTGCCGCGCATTTGACCAGGCCGACGCACCAAGGTCAATGTCGATAGCGAGACGCTTGTCCTGAGCCTGTGTTTGGGGTGCTTGCTGGTAATCTTCATCACTGTCCGAGGCCTCGCTGTCCGTCTCATTCATCTCTTCTTCCTCGGCTTCGGCCAACTCAGACAGGAGCAAAGTAACGGTGTTCTCATGCAGCTTCAATGGTATCTCGATCATCTCAGCCACCGGATTACGTCGACTTTGCTCATTCTCAATCAGGCGTCCAATGTCAACCCAATCCATTCCTTGGGCGATCAAGCCGTTGACTGCGGCGACGGCTTCTTCCACACGTTCCACATTGGCCTCGATGGCTTGGGCTTTACGAATGTTCAGCTCTTGTACCTGCTGCAATCCATCTATTCGCTTTTCTTGCTCTTGTCGTGCTTGTTCGATACGTCGTTTCGCATTGTCTTCTCTCTCCTGCAACCTCGATTCCAACTTCTGCCCTTCTATAGAAGAGAAAAACTCATCAACTGTCTTGTTGAAGCCCTCGTGCTCGAGAAAGACCGTGGAGTTGTCGTCTGCCAACTGAGCGGGCTTGAATGGATGGAAGTCGTCGTACATCACTGCCTGACTCTCGCCAGGAAGTCTGGTCGCGTCACCGTCTCTCGAAAAATTTCGCTTCGCAAGAATAAATCCCTTAGCCGCATCACCCTTCGTGATTTCCTCGACAATCTTTCCAGCCTGCTGCAAGGCTCCCAAGATCTTCTCTTGCAGCCCATCACTCTCGAGCACTTTCTCCAACTCCAACGTCCTCTCAATGCCCGCAACGTACAGCGCATGATCGATCAAAACCGGCGGGAACTCACTCATACTCCCCGCCAAAGCCTTACTCAGGACATTCCCTCCTTTCTTCTTCGCCTTCTTACTCCCCTTCTGCGCATCTTCTTGTTGCCTTTCCAACGCTTTCTGAAGCCCATCTTTTAGTCTTTGCCCCGTCAAAGCCGGGATGCCATCAATACCCTGCCTCTGCTCGAGCCCATACTTCACGCCAAGGCGATACTGCTCGTGTTCCGCACCCTCATTCACACTCCTCAGCAACCCCAAAATCGTCAATTCCCCGTCCGTAAGCACAATATTGCCTCCAGCATAAAATTCCAAAAACAATCTATACGCTCCATCCGAGAATTCCAACTCAATCACTCGATCAGTCCCGATCTGCCTCACGACAGTACACCTCCTCGTCCTCAAGAATTTCCTCAAACGGGCGACGAAAGCCGACGGAGCGGCTGCCGTGGCGCGGGAGAAAGCAGTAAGATGACATCGGAAACCCGAATCGATGATGAGTTGTTCGCGATGGTCGGGCTTGGCGAATTTGAGGAGGAAGATTCGGGAGCTGAGATCGTAGACGTTTGCGAGGCGGAGGGTGACGAGGGAACGTGAGAGTTCATGGGCGATGACGCGAACGTCGAGGGAGGAGAAGCGTTGTTTCATTTCGTATAAAACGATGCGAAGAGGAAGAGAAGGCGCAAGAATGGGGAAATGTTGTTCATGAACAAGACTAACTGCCACATATGGATTTCGAACCTGAACATGACCTCATCGGCGGTGGCAGAATTGGGTTCACCGCCCGGCTGAATAGAATATCCGAGTCGATATGGATCACTTCTTGACTTCACATGCTAAAGCTATATGAACGATTTCTGCATTTCACACCTATTCCACCGACTGTCCCGAGATAGTTGCATCACAATGTCCACATCCACTGTTCCACTTTCTCGCAATCGTTGAAGAAAGACAACGGTGACTATATGTAAATCATTGGGCTCAAGGTATTGTCGATAATTGCGTAGAAACAGTGTCACTGGACCTTATGCCAGTGGAGTGGCGCGTTCGGGTGGAGAAGAGGTCTCAAAAAGGACGGTTACTTCTCCAGTGGCCATGATGTCTTCGAAGTTGTCGCGGCTCAAGACCTGCGAGGATACAGCCCTATTCTGGGGCATGTGACACTAGAACTGCTCAAATTCAATAGAAGAAAGAGTTGCGATGACAGCGGCAGATAATCTTCCGAACATTACTGCCTCGTACCCACAGATCAATCGCTCTCAAAGACAATCGTGCCAGCCGGTCGGTAGGGGTGTTGTAATGAGTAATCATAATGTTCACAATCCGGGTATACGGGCTCGATACTTTCCGTCCTCGCTCTTTCTGGCGTCCGAGAGGAAACCCCATAGACCTTCTCTTGGACGCAGACCTTCCAAGCACGCAGAGCCTCGGCCGATGCAACATCGCGCAGGTTCGAAGTCCGCCCTGGGAGGCTCGTATAGAGAGAGCATCAGGTATGCGCAGACCAAGTCGACATGAAAGGATCATGGATGCAAAATTCGGAGAACCGTCCGTAAGCTGATTCCCGCTAAAGCCATGCATCTTTCTTGGCCGGCATCGTGAGAAAGAGGAACTCCCCCCGGAGCAACTGAAAGGCCGATCTTGCTGTGGAAAATCTCGATGGTCACCAGTGCTCTTTCATGCCTGTCGTAGTGCGATACCTTGCGAGGTATCGCGACTCGTGCGCGCTGGAGACTTGGAGTGTACTAGCAACCTTCTTCGTAGCATCGCGAGTCGCCCCAAACGCAAGCTCATCGAGGATATCGGCGGAAAGACGCGGTCTCGGCGATAATTAGTAAGATTCTGGGCGAAACAGGCCGCAAGACAGCATGCCTGTGGTGTTCGCATCGTCATTTAAACGACAGAGCAGAAAAAACGGTCGTATTTCCCGGACTCCTTTGGTGCGTTTCAGAGCGTCGCAGAACAATCTGCAGAGGTGCCTGGTCAACAAATACAGCAGCAGTAAACACAAGGGGAGCGGAAAAGAGGTGTGATCTCACGCACGCCCGTAATAATGCATAAATTTAGATAGGCAAAGGGGGCGATAGCGACCCTCCTTGAGCTCCTTGGCCGCGCAAGAGCAATAAGCCAAGAATGATATGCGTAGCCATTCACCGCCGTTTTGGATCTTCTGATTCGAGGAGATCGATGGTCTCCATGCTTGCGGCTAGAGCGCTTTGAGCTGCACAACGAACAAAAGTGCCCGGTGCGGAGCGCCTAAACATCGGTTGGGAGAATCCCAAAATCACAACAGCACGTGCGGCAGATTGGATGGCTTGCTGCTGCGCCGCTTCTGCTGCAACATGACACATTCCCACTCCTTCCCTGTTCCGTGCAGATCACTTCGTCTTTCTGCTCCCTGTAGACTACATGGTGCTAAGCGCATCGGCTCGCCGCCAATGTCGCTAGTCTGATACGTGGTTGTCCGTTACCGCCCCTCGAGACGGCTGCACTTTCCTCAATGATGCTTGGTAGAATCTCCCCTTAACGAGGATGAGAACAGCAGCCAAGCACATCGATGTCTAAGCGCGATAGCTGCCTGCCCGCTGCAAGCCGGACGACGCATGAGGTACCTTGGCGAGCAAGGCAATTCCTGGTATCAATCTGGCAAAAGAGAGTAGTAATATAATGGCACATGGAAAAGTGGGGCGATGCCAATACCGATCACGTGGGATGCCAATGCTCGCGGAACAAGATTGTTGGGAAATTCGTATCCACTTCCGCTCTCGTCTTCCGGCAGGAGTGGAGATTCCAAGTGCCATGCGTCGTGGGCATCGTTGTGGATATGCAATATTGAAGTGGCTCCAGTAATACTAGCCGGCTGAGTGCATGGCCTTGGGAAAATGTGCCGCCGTGTGCTGCTGCCCCGGAGAATGTCCACTCGGACTTGTCCACGGTCAGCCAATTATCAATTCCGACACTGAAAACCGGTCAAAGCTCTTGATACTGTGATCACGGTGAACCGAACGATTCGATTCTGACACGTTCCAATTTGTATCCCCGTTGCTGTGCAGTGCATCCCACGTACTACGTTTCGACGGCGGGGATCAGTTGATGTGTTGCGCTATGGTAGCGTGAACGAGAGTCTTGTCCACACCAGACCGAGAGGGTAAGTGGAGGCAACTGACGGACTCGAGTAGGGGCCTGTAGACTGCGGCAACTCCGTTCACCGGACTGCACGGGATACCAGTAATGGAAGGATCGAAGTGAGACATGATCTGTATACCCAAACACGAGCACATTACGTCGCAATCGGTTTCAGAGCCAAGATAGGCGGCTTGCTCCGCTTGCGCTGATACTAGCCGCTGGCATGCAGCCGCCAGCTAAAGATCATTTTTAGGCTGGTGTTTTGGTTCGGCTGGCAAGAGGTCACTAAGACTCTAGCTACCGCCTGCATCGTCGATCTCGAGGAAAGCAAATGCTTGCCCGAGTCACTTGTGAACCAAGTCCAAGCGCTGTGGTGACGAAGTCAGCGTCTCGCCTAATGGCCACGTTCTGAGCACGTATTGGTTCTGATGCATAGCATACCATTGAAGCAACAGTATAGTGAGCCATGAGGTCGGTAGCGTTCAAGGATCCAGACAGTCTGAGGATCCAAGACAACTCGTATGTACGCGCCAGCAGATGCAGTGCGGTCGAAAGAAAGCCCTACTGCGCCGCCTCACTCCGGCATGAGGCCGCCCCGCGCGCGACGTCGACCGTGGTTGACGTTTTCAAGACCGCACGATACGCATCAGCTCGAAACACCTGCCGTCCAGCGATCCCAGCGTCGCTTTTTGCCAAAATGCCTTGGAAGACCAAGCGTCTCAAAACTCTTCTCGTACTCGCTGAGTTCTTGTTTACTGCTGATGGCACCTTCCGCTAGCACGAATCCGTCATCAACAAGAGCTTGTTCGACGTCGTGCTCTAGCTCAGCTTCATGCTTGTACAACAATACAACTTGCTGCAGCCAGCAAGTCCGTTCAGGCCCTAGTGACGTGAGCCAGTCAATGAGGGTGCTGTTGCTCCAGTCTTTGTGCCAGAAGCTGTAGGACCGCATTAGTATCGTCTCAACCTTGTGAAAGGGGCTGGAAGCTTGCATACAGCGGCCGCCAGCACTCAAAGATGTTCTGCTCATAGTACAGGTGTAGGGTCTCCGCACGGAGTTGATGCGACACGCGGGTGAGTGACGGTGGTCCACCATGGTTGAATCTGTCCATTCGTATCGGCCGTCTGTCAAGCAGCCTCGCTCCAGAGGGATCAGCCTCCGCGTCTGTACTAGCATCTTCAACTGGCGCCCATTCGGTAACCGCGTGCAGCCAGATCAGCTCACGCAACTCAGCTGGTAGCTCCAGCAGCGGACAGCGCCCTGTCGTCGGGACAGCGAGCGAGTGCGGTAGTGCTGCAGGGTGATGTTGAACCACATCTCGCGTGGCAGGGAGTGCATCCTCCTGTGTGTGCGAATGTGCGTTCTCCAAGGGTGCGAAGCTCCACGTCGCCAGGCCTGTCTCTGCGGATTGCAGTCCGTGGCGAGCGGCGTCGTGATGCGGCCGGGGCAGACCGCATATGCCGTTTAGGGACGAGATGAAGTCGCTGGGAGATTCTGACATGTCGCGTGCAACGCAAGTGAAGTGATGGAGTTGGGTCCGTGGTGTGTCCATGGGGAAGGAAGGCATCGGAGCACAGCACACCGACACCGACACCGACGCGACGGGGACTTCCGCTTGTGCGCTGGAGTTTTTCTGGCTACGACGACGAACCTTCCGATCCCTTCTATGAGTCTAAGGTACCTACACATGTGTCCACGAGTCTATAATAATGACCTCACCTCCCAGACATGACAATGTCATCCAATTGTGGCCATCTTGGAGGCGCTCCCGAAGCAAGCCTACGTCGTGCTTTGAAATCATCCTCAATCCAAGCCAATGTCTCCACCCCACGCACTGCGAAAAGTCTGCTCGCCTCTTTCGGTACACGATCTGCCGCCTCCCACGTTTGCTGCCTCTGCTATGAGAACCTTCGACGTCCAGACATCTTCACCGCCTTTACCGCATCGCTGAGCCGACTGAAGCCGCCTGAAAATGTTGCTTTGCAACTGCCGGCTGATGGCCAACATCATCACCGTCTCCTGAAATTGCTGGCATTCCGCGCATCGCGCTCTAGAATTCTCACGGACTCCCCGTGACGAGTATGGTTGGTCTCGAGGCAATGCGGCGCCACCAGGCATGCGGTATTGTTGCAACGTCTCGTCAAGAGGACGCCACCTCAGGCCGAGAAGGGCATCCAGGATGCGATGCGCCTCGAATTGCGCGCAGGGCGACTGTCAACCGGGCCATGTGATGTTCGAGAAACCTTCATGTCGTGGAGAACCGACGGAAAGTTGGCCACGTTTCTACACCTTCTGCGAAGACTGAGACTCAACCTTCACCGCTCTCGAATAGGTGATCTGTTACGTCTCAACTCTACTTAGGTGGCCTTTCAGAAGGTGGCCGCATCGACCCGTGGCCTCCAGAAGCCGTTCCGTGTCTGTGTCGTGGCGCATGAGGTAGATGCCATCATTGTTGTGTCGACCGAGATATGTGCTGCCGAGTCATCGGGTGGGAGATCTGGTTGTTATCGTGCATAGCCTCTCGTTCGTCCGTTCTCTCCGCGGCGGGCTCTCGTCTAGCTGCATCTCCTTCGCGCCGCGTCGCTTGCAAGGACTTGCAGGCGATGGGCAAAAACGTGGGAAGGAGCACCGTGGCAGTTAAACCTTGATTTGGTACCGGCATAAGCGTCCGCAGCTCCGTTACTCTTGGCCTGGTTGGATGAGGCTTGCGTCGTCTTCCCGCGACATGCCACGTCTTTCGAACGAGATGTTCAAAGGATCTGCTGCATTGTGAAGAGCGGTGTCAGTGAAGAGGTACAGTCTCACCGCCCTCGGTGGAGATTGATAGCATGTGCTGGTCGTCAACGACTATGGTCGTCCAAGATTGAGGCCTCCACATAAACCTAAAGCCTTCCGAACGCTTCGAGTCAGGTCGCCGCTGTCGTCAACGGCTCGGCAGCATTAACCGAGCGCGCAGTTTCGAAATTGGGTTGTTCCACGGCGTCCCACTTCCTTCGATGAAGTTTTCTGGAAGAGCAGGTCTGCCTTCCCCGAATGAAGTCCGAATAAAACCCGAATGATGGATATGGTGTTCTAAGATGAGGCGTCGAGGATCATAGCTATGATTGACTGACTACAGAAGCACCTAGAAATCAATGGGGAGGGTTCCATCACTGTGTTGGTTCCGAGAGCCCAAACCTTGAACCAATCAGAGGCAGGAACCCGTGCTCCCAACATAGGGATCCTCTTATCCCCGAGGTAAGATCTTTGGAAGTGGCAGGTGCGTTTATTCTCTCGTTGGGCGTTACTGTCTTGTAATAGCGATCTACGATATGCATAAGTGACGAACGATTGTGGTCGCGGTAGATAGACGAGCGAGTGGCCTCCGCGAAAGAGTTTCCTGCGTTGCTCGTCGCGCTTGAGAGGTTGTGACCGCGTTCGCGCTCTGTTCACCCGACCCATACAGCTTCTCGCGACCTGCTCGTGGTCTGCAGGGAAATACCAGAAGCGGATTCCCGTCCAGTGCCTGCCTCATGGCGAGGCGTGACGTCTCGGGACACAAGCAACATGAGTCAAGTTACATGTACAGTCATATCGCTGTCGAAGGAGAGAACAACCTTCTGGAAGCAGCGGCGGGAGGAAGGCGAGGACGAGATTGGCCATATATACATTTGAGTTTGCAAGTCTGCTCGAGCGTCATGCAGGTTCGACACCACCGTTGTCGAAGGAGAGCGCCTGTGCAGCTTACCTGCAGTAGCATACGGAAGTTGCTCGGATGTTTGCGTTTCGATTCTGGAGCGTAGGATCTGCCAAGTTGCAACAGACACGTTGATCAGATGGAATCCCTAAGCGACTCAAGTACAGTACATGCTTGTGGCGGGCCCAGTCGAAGGAGACCCCTCCTGTCACTGCGGTGGCTATGGTTACTACTGTGGACATGTCTGTGCGATGACCCTCGCGCTGATGATGTAGAATCCCTGATGATTGCCTATTGCGGGCTGTCGGGCCCGAGGAGTGGAAAGGGAGTCGCTCCCCGAGATGCTCGTCGATGGATTGGCGCCGTGCGCCTTACGTGCGTAAGGCGCTCTGCACGATGCGCGAATTTGCAGCGACAACGAGGAGCAGTTGCGTGAATCGCCGCTCGAGCGCTGGCACAGCAACACGCTAGGTGCGCTGTGCGGAGAAGAGATTGCTTTGGAGCGGGTCTCGTCTCGTAACGCGGTGGGGACGGACACCGATGGCACACTGGCTGGGCGGCCCTACGTAGTGCTGACTCTGTGTGTTGAGGCGCGGGGGCAGGCAGAAGATGCCAGTGGATTCAGGCACAGAAACAGTGGGCACGTCACCCAGGAGATGGCGGGTATTAGCTCGTCTGTAGAGTCGCCGTCGACTGTAGGAGAGACTCCTTCTAGCGCGCTTCGTTGCTGGGCACAGGGGCGGGAGGGGATGTGCAGCATCAGCATCCTACTGTCGCCCGGCGAGGACAGGCGAGGCGAGCAGTCGAATCGCTTGGATTCCAATCGCAGCAAGTCGCAGGTACGTGTGTGTGCAGTGTCGCCAGGTCAGGCAGCTGGCAGGGCACATGCATACCGACAGGGCTGCGGGCTGCACGACCAGGACCGGGCTGTGCGTGCCGCGCGCGGCGGTTTGATTGCGACAACCGTCGGTGTGGACCTTGCCAGCGTTGCAAGCAAGCAAGCAAGCAAGCAAGCAGCGAGCAGTCCGTGGAGTGGCGGACGAGGGATCGCATGCTGTGTGCACTGTGTGTATGTGTGTGTGTGTGTGAAGTTTGCCTTATGTCCATCCCAAGGTTAATTTTATGCACCGAGGACTTTCGGCTAGCGCGACCGCATTTCCGCCCGCCAAGCTGCTTTCGGTGATAGCTCAAACTCTGCGATCGGAAGCGGCCCGCAGCGGCAAGCATCCAGCACGACGGCCCGGCCAGCATGTGAGCAGAAGCTCGTGAACTTTTCCGCCCACTCCCAGCACCACCCACCACCCACGCCCGCTCACGACGAACTATCCACCTCACCTCCTGCCCGTACCTGTACCTCACTACTACAGTACCACGCACCCCGTCGTCGACTCGCAGCGCTCCTGGTCCCGGCCCCGGTCCCAGTCCCGGTCCCAGTCCCAGTCTCTAGCGCGCTGCAGGCTCCGGCACTAAAAGCAGCTCCCTGCCGCTGTATCATCATCACCATCATCGTCGTGGTGGTGGTCGTCGTGGCCGTGGTCGTTGCCGTGGCCACCGTGTTTCTGGCTGCTGCTGCTGCTGCTGCTGCTGCTGCTGTATGTGCGCGCGCGGCTGGCTCAAGCTTCTGCTTGACGCTGCACCTACACTACGCAACGCTACCTTCCCCTACTAAGCCTCGGACGACACTCGCACGCCCACCCACCCTCACCACTAGCCGCGAGAGGGTGCCCTTCAGTCAGAGACTAGACTAGCAGGCGGCATCCCCCATCCAAGGATCGCGTGCAGGCTCAGCATCTTGCCTGCCTTGCCGCTGCCCTCTATCGGGTCAGGATCAGGATCAGGCTCAGGATCAGGATTGATCGCGCCTCGAGCCACCCACCGCCGTTCTGCTGCTCCCGCCGCCTGCTCTGCCGCACGCACCACCACCCACCCACCCACGCACGCACGCACATTCACTCGCACTCCAAGCATTCACGCGCTGGCTGCACCGCCCTGCGTCACCTGATCCTGCGCGCCTGGCCATAGTGCCGCGACTTGCCGTACACTGGCCGCTACGACGGGGATCTTTCACTGGCGTCGCACGAGGGGGAGCTGTCCTGGTGCCAGCGCCAGTGCCAACAGTTATCATCAGCCCGGCCTCCATCCCCCGATCATCTTGCCATCGTAAGTACCGCTTTTCGTGTATCAGCGTCCTATTTACCGCCTACATTGCGCCCACTTTCGCGCGCCTCCGCGCCGTGCTACCGCTACCACTCTTCATCATATCCGGGGCGCATCCTCCTCGCCCAAACTCCTCCTTCCTCCCCATCATCCACCATTGTCCCGAATGTCTGCCGCAGTGATGTCGAACTATTACTCATCGCAGCTCCAGGTGCACAACTGGATGCTCGCGCAGATGTCCAACTACCCACCACCACCACCACAGCCCGACCAGCAGCACTATAACGCCCTCTACCCGACCCAAGGAGGCGCGCAACAGCAGCTGCTGGAGGACCCGGCCGCCCAGCAGCAACTCCAATTCAGCAGCTTGAACCAGCCCATCTACCCCAAGGTCGAGGGCGCCAATGCCGTCAGCAGCCCTTCCAGCCAGCACATCCAATCTCTGGCCCAAGAGCTCACTCATCATGCCGCGCTCGAAGACCAGCGTCACCATCACATGCACGCACATCAGATGCAACAGCCCACACCGGTTACGAGCCATCCAAATACCGCGTCAAATCCGCACACCCAGACTTCAACACCCGAGCAGCCACCACAGAAGACGAATCGCTTGCGAAAAGCTTGCGATTCGTGCAGCATCCGAAAAGTCAAGGTAAGGGACCTCTAGAGTGTTACGATTGATTCCGAGTTATAGGAGAAGGCGTACTGACTCGTCTCTCCTCCTCAGTGTGACGAAACAGGACCACCATGCAGAGCTTGTGCGGCGCTCGATATTCCGTGCACCTTTGATCGCCCTAGCAGGAGGCGAGGACCACCGAATCGACACGCCGAGGCGATCAAGCGCAGACGATTGGAAGAGCAGCAGAGCGCAGCAAACTCGCCAGGACTCTCGGGAACTTCTTCTCCTACTTCGCCGACTCACGCAGCCCAGGCACTCACAGCACTTGCGGCACACTCATCCACTCCACTCTCTGCGGAGTCGATCTGCCCACTCGAGACTCTAGATTTGCTGATCGACGACTTCTTCACCTACATTCATCCGCTATGCCCGTTTCCACACGAACCAAGCTTCCGAGAGGCGTGGAAGCGAAGAGAAGACCTAACGAACAAGTCTTTCCTGGCACTGCTGGCGTCCATGATCGGAGCGCTCGTAGCATCATTCCCACGGAAGCCACGCTTGCATCTGAAGGCCCAGAAGAGGGAGAGCCTATTCTCCAACCACATGAGTCTCGTACAGAGATGCCAAAAGGTCTGCGCAGCAGCTCGGGGAGCTGGATACCTGGAGAGTGAGCATTTGAATGTTTACGACGCCGCTACGAGCTACTTTGTCGCGTTGATGGGCATCTACACGTTCAGATGGCGTCTCGGTCGGCTATACTTCGGCGAGTGTTTGACAATTCTCCGAACGCTTGGCTTGCATAAGCCGAAGGGTCAACCCTACAACCAACTGGGAACGCTTCCAACTGCCATGGGAATGGGATCTCACCAACAAGCCGCCGAACAGAACGGAACGGAACACCATGTTGACAACATCACCCAGGAAATGGGACGTCGCATCTTCTGGACCATGTTCGTCAGCGTCAAGTCCATGGAGCAGTTGGGTGCCAGCTTCGGCGAACTCGTCATTCCGCCACCCACCCGTTCTGAGCCGTATCCTCCGCTTCCAGCTGAGGTGGATGACTTCTGCATCTACCCGACCCACACCGAGCCACAGCCTACCGGTTTAGTTCCGATCATCTCCGGGTTCAACGCCAATGCCCGGGTCTACTGCTCCTACAACGCGCTGGCGACCATGGAGATGGCGTGGGGAATCGATGCCATCGTTGACTGGGACCGTCAAAAGCGTGTGTTGCACGAATCGCTTCGCTGTTGTAAGGCCGCTATGGTCGATCTACCACCGGAGTTGACCGTCAACACCGAAGCCGGTCTCTCCGAACACCAGAATGGCAACGGCGGCTTTTATCCGGCCTTTGCGCAGCCTCACCTGGGGCGTGACCCTGCAGCCTCCCTGATGAGCCCAACATCCCGGCCGTCCCTGGATCAGACCCCGGAAGAGCGCCGTCGTTCCCAATACGAGATACAGAAGGCAAACATCTACGCTTCCAGCTTGGCAACCCGCTCTTACCTGGTTGAGAAGTACTGGAATCTCTGTGAAGCGCATCAGCGTTCGCGATCCCAGAATCCCAGCTCGCTGCCAAGCTCCCCTGGCGCCGGTATCACCGCAGCCGGTATCGATGGTATGGTACCTCAGATCCCCACCAGCCACTACGACATGATCGAGAATGAGATGCGGGATGAGAGGGAGAGCATCGTCAAGGACCTTCTCGTCGTCCTGGGCAGTATCGACCAAGTGAACATGGAGCCTAACGGCGACTCATTCGTATGTTATATCCCAACAGACCTCAGTCGACGTCATGCTAACATCCCACCAGACCATGAAGATCCGCTCCATCGCCAGCACCTTGCTCGAGGTACCTGAGCAGCGCAAGGGCCAGCTCGCGATGCAAGCGCAAGAATACCTCGGGGCCTTCCTCAAGATCCTGATGAGACTGGAACGCGTCAGCCCCGCAAACAGCGACGCCGACCAGCCCGAAGACGAAGATTCGGAGCTCCGACAGTGGGCGGACCTGCGGGATTACCAGATGAAATTCGCGCAGCAGGGAGGCTTGCTCGGATTGTCTTAGAAAGAGAATCTCATGCGGGCGATTGACGACGACTGTCGTCAACAATCTTCCTGCTTGCTTTTTGGGGGGTAAAAACAGAAAGAAAGGGGGGAGGCCAACTTTTTCAAAGGGATTTTGTACGACATGGGGCTTGCTTATATGGCTGGCTGGCTGGCGCTGACTGACTTGACTGCGGATTGTGCTGCTCGATACCCCTCCCTCCCATTGGGCTTTCCACCACTACGAGTCCGAGTGGTTTGACTTTTTTGAGATGGCTATGGATGGATGGAATGGCGCAAACGATGATGGCTGGCTGTGATGTGTTGTTGTTTCCCTGCCTGCTTCGGAGGAAGGAATGGATGGAGGGGTTGACTCGACCAAGGGAAGTTGAGTCTTAGGAGGGGTTTTATGGACGGCGTTTTGTGTTGTTGCTGCTGCTGCTGCTGCTGCTGCTGTGGAAGGAAGGGAAGGGTCATGCATGCATCATACTGCTCATGTTTGTTTTTTGTTTGTTTGTTTGTTTGTTGTTCTATCGTGAGTGGATGCATGGTATGATTTGAAGGCTTGAGAGACGAGAGAGCAAGGAAGAAAGAGAGAAAGAAAGATAGCAAGACACGAACGAAAGAAAGAAAGAAAGAAAGGAAGAACGTGGTGTCAACACAGCTTCTTCTTCTCAATTCCCAGCTTCGGATTTTCGTTAATTCTTCTTCTTCTTCTTCTTCTTCTTCTATCTATCTCATGCTCATTTCTTTCCCCACCAACCACCAAACCACCAAGTCTTTTCAACCTGGTGGTGGTCCGTCCGACATGTCTACAATTTGGATTTGGAGTCGGAGAGTCACGCGCCCAGGACTTTCTCGGCGGCGCTCTCGTTGATGCCCGTGTTATCGGGTTCGATGTGCACGGAGTGGATCTTGCCGTCCTGCGTCACGAGGGCGAGGCGCTTGGAGCGGGGGTCGCCGAAGACGCCCGGGGCGGAGAAGAGGGCGTCGAGTTGCTTGGTGAAGTCTCCGTTGACGTCGGCGAGGTAGCGGATCTAATAAGTGGAGGGAGTGGTGGTGGTGAGCATGCAGTGAGGATCGAGGGATTATCCGGGGACGGGCAGAGGCATTCGGATAGCGGGCTGAGGCGAGGTGTTCGATCGAAGGGGGACTTACGCCGCTCTTGCTTCCGGGATCCAAGTGCTCGCCCCAGGCTTTCATGCTGGTACGGCGCATGTCAGCGGTGGATTGCAGGTACTACTTACTATTTTTCATGAGGAGGGGCGCGTACACGAAAGGATCGTTGACGGCGACGATGAAGACCTTGCCGCTGTTGGCGAGGTGCTTGGAGTTGATGTATCCGGGGACATGGTGGGCGGTGCAACCGGGGCCTGTCAATGTCAGCGTGGTGTGGTACTTCTCTTTCCGTAGACGCTTCTCATCAATGCTGCCCTATCCTTCTCCCGCCCGGTGATTCGGGATGCCCTCGGCTGGCTGCTGCTTTGTGGTCTGTGCTCTGTACCGGCGCCGCCCGGCATGATGTACCGTATCCGGAGGTTGTACAGGACCGAGCCAGGCGCATGCTGTAGCAGGAGAGCGGATTCGTGGGGAAATGGCACTGCAGGACTCACTGAATGCTGCCGGGACGCCGACGATGACGCCCTTGCCGGAGGCCAGCTCTTTGGCGAGCGAGACTTTCTTATCGGGGGCGCCCTCGAGGAGCTCGACGTCGGGGATGGGGTCGCCTGGCTTGACCATTGTGAGGGAGTGATTGATGCAGGAGGGTGTGGGGATGGTAAGGTAGCTGGGGAGTATGGGGAAGTGCAGTGGTGTGGTGTGGTGTGGAGAGGAGGAGGGCGAGGTGTTTCGAAGAGATAGAGATGGGAAAGGGAAAGCCTGGAGGGTGAGCTAGCATTGAAGAATGTGTCAGCTTCCAAATAGCTGGAGCTGTCGGGTCCCTCCAAGGTTATTGCCGGAGCTGAGCAAATCACATCACATGTGAGAGCTCCATCAGGCGACGTCAATCAATATTGGTGAATGAATGATAATAAGCATCCTGTCTAACAGCACGTGATGATGGATTGATGGATGATTTCCCTGTGCTCGGAAGGGACCGGGTCGGGTCGGGTCGGGTTGGGTCCGGTCGTGTCGGATCAGCACAGCAGCATACCACAATACTAGAGTGAGAGAGCCGGGAGAGCCTTGGCGAGGAATGTAGATCTTGGGCAATGGCGACGCCGAAAGAAGCGAAGTGCTTCCGCCGCCACAAAGAAGAGTCTACTCGTTAGTTATTAGTCCACGATTATTATTATTGCTTTGCTTTGCTTTGCTTTGCTTTGCTTTGCTTTGCTTTGCTTCTGCTTTTGCTGCACCCGACTTCCTCTGCTCGCATCGGACGCCCTCTTCGCATCTGTGAGCCCTTCGCATCCGAGAGCCAGCCCTTTGCATCTCTCAAGCTTGGCTGCCTTCGAGCCGACTCGCTGCATCACCCATCACCCATCACCCATCACCCATCACCGCCCATCGACAGCGATTACCCCTGCAATCCGCCCGTCTCCTTTCCCGCATCTCCATCCATCCAACAACTTCATCCAACCTACTCGACTTTGTTCCTTATCGCTCTGCCCCGAGTCCGCTCTCGCCGTTAACGCGCAAGGTGACGTCGGAGGAGGAGGCTGAACGCCAGTCATCTTGCGCCCGCCGACCTGCGGTCCATCCACCACTGCGCCGCCGCTGCTGCTGCTGCTGCCCGTCTTCCAACTTGGAACCCTACCCTTCCACCACCCACCTGCTCGGCCCGTCCTCTCATCGCCCACCGAGCCGAACACGGCACGACTTCATCGCCCACCCTCGGAATCCTTCACCCGCCAGTGCAGCGCATGTGCTGTCCTGCGAGCCTGCATTCTCGTCCCAGCGCGCCGGCGCCGTGAGGATCGCACCCCCGAGTCCTGCCCTTCGCGCAACTCCGCACCCTCGCACCGCTCCGCTCCGCTCCGCTCCGCCGCGCTCCAATGCCATAGACGATCGCATCGACCTGCCGCCTGCGAACGCGCTCTGCCTACACTTCCACCGACCTCTGCGATCGCGATTGGGGAGACCGAACGGGTGTGCGATCGCATGTCCACCCGCACGTGAGCATTGTTACCAGGACATAGTTCGAGATGGATAGCCAGTCGAGCGGCTCGAATAGCAGCTCCGACTTCGTTCGGAAGCTCTACAAGATGCTGGAAAACCCTCAGGATGAGAGTGTAGTACGCTGGGGAAACGAGGGCGACTCCTTCGTCGTACTAGAGGCGCGTTGCGAGAAACATTTCCGCCGTGGAGACAGCAGCTGACTGGAGCGCAGAACGAACGGTTTACGAAAAACATCTTACCGAAACATTTCAAGCACAGGTGGGGAACCCACGCGCCCAACTATTTCACACTCCAGGTGCTAATGAATGTCTTTGCGCAGCAATTTTGCCAGCTTTGTGCGCCAATTGAACAAATACGACTTTCACAAGGTGCGCCATAATAATGAAGAGGGAGGCACTTCGCCCTACGGACCGGGCGCCTGGGAGTTTAAACATCCAGACTTCAAGATGAACAACAAGGATGCATTGGACAACATTCGGCGAAAGGCGCCGGCGCCTCGAAAAGCGAACGCCATCGGCGACGGTGACATGCTCCCGACCCAGCAAATAGACATGATCAACACCCAACTGGTCGCGACGCAGCAGCAGCTTCAGCAACTGCAGGAAAGGTACAACGAGCTCAGCATGCACCACTCCATGCTCGTGCAGGAGTTGATCGGGGTGCAAAAGACGGTCGTCAATCACGAACATGTGATGCAGTATGTCATGAATTTCCTCAACTCCGTGGACGCACAGCGGCGGAGGGAGAGCCGCATTGTGAACCCCAATCCATTCGCTGCCTCTTCGGGAAACAATGGCGCCAATGGTACGACAACACCGGGTTCCAACTCGAACTCCGTGCCCCCAGTGGAAGACGATGTGCCAGCGTCGCCCTTGCAGCATGCTTCGAAGCTTTTGAGCGAGGTGAACGCAGATCACATGCTCAACACGCGGAACCTGGAACAGATGAACGAAGCGCAGATGCGCATGAACGCGGCCATCACCACTCCCCCGCCCGATCTCACTGCGGCGCGCAACGGGACAAGGTCCTCGAGCAGAGGCGCTCAGCCACACTCGACTGCCTCTTCCAGCTCTGTTGGTTATGATCTCGACACCCTCGTGTATCCAATCGGACAGACGCAAGGAATCGACCCCATGTACAGCGAACACATCAACAACATTCCTTATCCCATGCCTGCAAAAGGACCAGATGGAAGCTTTGCCCCAGCACCTCCGCCAGAGGTACGCAAGAAGAGCGCCCAAGTAGACCCGGGGTGGGTTCGACAACCCCGGATCCTGCTGGTGGAAGACGATCAGACGTGCAGGCGCATCGGCGGCAAATTTTTATACGCATTTCACTGCTCCATCGACAGTGCTGTAAGTGCAAACTCCCACGTGTGGTGGTGTGTGCAAAGCTAACGGAGAAACTCAAGCTCGATGGACTAGAAGCCGTCCACAAACTCAATTCCGGCGCCAAATATGACCTTGTGCTCATGGACATCATTATGCCCAATCTCGACGGTGTCTCTGCCACGCATCTCGTGCGACAGTTCGACAACACAACACCGATTGTAGCAATGACATCGAACATTCGAAGCGATGACATTTCGATGTACTTCCAGCACGGTAAGCACGGATCGTCGAGGCTGGTACAGGACAAAGCTAATTCATCTCAGGCATGAACGATGTCTTACCCAAACCATTCACCAAGGAAGGTCTGCTGAGTATGTTGGAGAAACATCTTGGACATCTCAAGAAAACCCCACCGGGACTCGAAGCCATGCCGCCACCATTGAACTCTGCAAAGCGGAGTCTGAAGAGTGAAGACTCGCCAGCCACATCACCGGCCAGCAACTGGAACTCCCCTAACCAGCTCACCGGCGGGTCACCTGGGGGCAGCAATCTCGGAGAGGAGCCGTATATGGCGCCCGCGTCTTACGTGCAACCTGGTCTGGCAGCGCCCCCACCACACATGTATGCAACCGCGCTGCCAGGACAGTTGGCTATGCCTCCGCGGCCAGGACCCACTCCCCAAGGTGGACCTCATCGACGAGACATTTCACAAATTTCAGGCGGAGCGGATATGGGAGGTGATGCCAAACGGCCTCTGTACGCGCCTCCCGGAATGAATCAGATGCCGCCGCAACCGATGCCACAGCAGATGCAGAGACCGCCGCGATAACAGTAGCGAAGACGATTTGAATTGCCTTCAGGAAGGCCATCAGAAACGCGCAAGCTGGGAGGAAGATTTGAGTTGACAGAGCAACTTCTGTACATATGTAGATATTGCTGCGATTAGTTGAGCGATCACATGTTCGCGGGCGCCATGGGCGCCGGGAGGACTGAGATCTGGCAGGAAAAGATCTATTGATCTCTTTTCTTTTGAGAAGAGGATCCCGTTAGGCATGCTTGGTTATCATCGAGCCACGGCCGTGAAGGGCGTGCTGGGCAAGACGACGTATTCGCAGAATATCTATCTCTGCACATGATAATCGATATTATCGACTTGACACTGTTCACTGCTCCGTGGAAGGACGTCTTTGCACATGCAGAACCTACGCCGCAGATGCTACCTTACTTACATTACGGTGATGGAACTCTGTCTCTCTCGCTTCCTGTCTCGTGATTGGGCTTTCACTAAGATACATGGAAAGACGAGGTACGGCGTATTCCAATGCCATGGAAGAGTCAGCTTGAGCTTGCCTCCGGGTGACACAGACCCTGTGCGAGACTTTGCGCATGACTCAAGCACTTCCAGACCTCACGAGTAAATTCCTGGACAGCACATCAACATTCGAAGATCAGACATTCCTCGCCAGAGACAAATCGCAGCCATGCCACCAAAAGGCAAGCGAGGAGCGAATTTGCACCAAGGCAAATCGGGAGAGGAAGAGCGCGAAGAGCCCTTCCAGGCCGTCGTCTTTGCGGATTCTTTCGAGCTACGATTCAACCCCTTCTCGCTGGAACAGCCACGATGTCTCCTCCCCTTGGCCAACACGCCCCTGATAGAGTACACGCTCGAATTCCTGGCGAGTTCCGGTGTCGATGAGGTCTTCCTCTGCTGCGGCAACCACACCGACGCGGTGGAGGAGTATCTCTCCAAATCGAAATGGATGAGTACCACGGCTCCCTTTAGCCTGGAAATCGTGCGATCGGATGCCAACAGTGTAGGCGATTGCATGCGACACTTACACACGAAAGATATCATTGCGGGAGATTTCCTGTGTGTGTACGGGGATGTCGTGGCGAATATCTCGCTGGAAGCGGCGATGCGGGGGCATAAGACCCGCGTTGCGAAGGATAAGAAGGCTATCATGACGATGGTCCTGCGGGAAGCGGGAGAGAACCACAGGGCGAAAGCGAAGCATGTCCGGCCGACGTTTGTTCTTGACGAGAGTACCGGACGGTGTGTGCATTATGAGCAGCTTCGGCCGGGACAGAATGCGACGCTGGATATTCCAGGCGAGGTACTCCGAGAAGCCGTGGATTTGGAAGTACGCGAGGATCTGATTGACTGCGGCATCGATATCTGTACACCCGAGGTCCTCGCACAGTATACCGACAATTTCGACTGGCAGCTCCCGAGGAGTGGGTTTGTGAAGGGCGTGCTGAAGGATTTTGAGACTTTTCAACTTACGATCCACTCGCATGTTGTGTCGGAGGGATATGCGGCCCGCGTCAAGGATTTGCAGACTTACGACGCGATTTCGAAGGATGTCGTTTCCCGGTGGACGTATCCGCTTACCCCTGACACGAATCTGGTACAAGGACAGAACTTCCAGCTACACAAGGGAAATGTGTATCGGGAAAGTGGAGTTGTCCTGGCGAGATCGAGCGTGGTGAGCAGGAACGTCATTCTGGGCAAGGCTACTTCGGTGGGTGAGCATTCGACGATCAGGAATGCGGTGATTGGAAGGAGATGTGTGATCGGGACCGGGGTGAAGATCGATGGTGCGCATATCTGGGATGACGCGTACATTGGAGACGACACTGTGCTGGAGAAGTGCATTATCGGCAATCGAGCGTCAATTGGCAAGCACTGCAAGGTCGAGGAGGGCGCTCTCATCTCGTACGGGGCGAAGATCTCAGACGGCACGACAGTTCCTGGGAACCAGCGGATCAGCACACTCAAGCGAAAGCGAGGCTATGGGAAGGACGATCTGGTCCAAGCGGCAAGTGATGCCAAAGTGGTTGGCGAAGGTGGTGTTGGTTATCACGTGGAGCTGGACGAGGACGAAGAAGAGCTTGCAGAATCGGTACTGGTTGGAATACAGAACATGGACTTGGCAGTGGACGACATCTCCGATTTCGACACGGACGACTCCGGCGACTCCGACGAGGATGGTTCAGAACTACACCACGTGCGCTCAGCCTCAACACGTAGCGATAGCTTCGCTTCGATTGATTCCGATGAGAGTGGCGAGGGACGGAAAGAAGCCCACGATTTCCACCGAGAAGCCGTGAATAGCTTATTCGACGACATGCAGAAGAACAAGACACCAGACACGATGAGACTTGAACTGGGCTCTCTCCGGATGACCGCCAACGCCGAAGATCGACAAATCCGACGAGCTATTGCGGTAGCTTTCACCAAACGAATCGCCAACCTCGTTGAGCACGGAAGCAGTCCCAAAGACGCCGTCGGACAGGTCTTCACGGCCTATAAATCGCTCCTGGACGGGTATCTGAAGGAAGAAGATTGGCAAGCGGAGCTTCTACTCTTCTTGCAGACGGATCTGGTGCATCGACCACAGGGCGAGAAGATCTTGTTGTTCTTGTCGAATGCGCTCGCTACGAGTGATATGGTTGAGGCGGAAGCGTTTGAGGCTTGGTGGAATGATGCGAGGAGTTCGGCGAGTGAGCAGTTGGAGGCTGTGAGGAAGGATACGAAGCAGTTGGTTGATGTTTTGGTTGGAGATGATGAGGATGAGGATGAAGAGGAAGAGGAAGATAGCGAGGAGGAGTCTGAAGAGGAGTGATAGATGAGATCTCGAGGAGGGTCAATAATGCTGGCAGAACCTCCACGTGCTTAGCTCTAGCTGAGCGATTTGGGCCAGAGAGGTAATGTGCTGGTGTGAGTCACGTGCTGAGCAGTCTCACCGTGAGTGACTGCCTGCAGGTGATGATGATGAGGGAAGGAAGTAGGTTGCAGCTTCCGTATCAGGAGGCTTCTGCTGTCCCCAGAACCAGGGACACTCTTGCCAAGTTCTCTATTGATTAATCAGCACGCACGCACATGAGGTCTATCGAGATCGTTCTCAGCTTGCACGGCAGAATGTAACACTGCATGCCGGTTCGCCATTTTCGGCCAGCATCATCTGCCTGGGTGGAGTGTGGAGGGTCTTTGTTGCAGGCACAGGTCATTCACTGCGTGGCGGGTGCACGGCCGGCGCTAGTGAACGGGGCTTAACCGTTGCCGGCGGCCTCCAACTTACCTCACACCACAAACCACTGCCAACTCAGCACCACAAAGTCCTTCCATCTCTTTCAGCTGCCGCTCTCTGGCTCTGCTGTGGCCACAACCCCCCCAAACACCCGCTCTCCTCCCTCTCACGGCCCCTGCACCGCCACAGCTCCTGGAGTAGTCACCACCCGCACAGCTCCACCCAAACTCCGGAGACCGGTCAGAAACAGCCAGCAGCGCCCCTCGCCTCTCTCAGACTCAGACTCGGTTGCTTTCGTCACACGGCGAAGGCAACCACCTCTGCCTCCTGCCCACCACGCCTCCCACTACTAGAAAGCGAAAGGCATCTATTACTACCCCCTCCGCCGCCAACATCGCCGCCGACGACTCCACCGTCCCTTCATTACCCCAGCGGAAAGCGAGCAAGACGGCTCACAGCAGCGCGCTCGGCGCCCTGACCCCACAGACGCTGGCATCCGATAAGCCCATGGACTCCGATGACGATTTCGCCAGCAACGCCTCGTCGGCGGATGATATCGATCTGAACGATGCGAATAGTAGTGTAGATTTTGGGGCTGCGGGTGAGTACATACGTGACATGCTGGCGGATGTGTTTCGGGCGGCTTTGGCTGACTTTTGTTGAACTCTAGACTCGGACGTCGACATCGAAGATGAGTTCCAAGACGACGAGGACGATGAGGTATTCGACCCGTCGGATAAGGATTTAAAGCCGCAAAGGAAAGAGTTCGAGGTCGACTACAAGGTGTACAGTCCGCAGGATATCCAGGCACAGCAAGATAAACAAATCACAGACGTTTCCAACTTGCTCGAACAACCACACGAGGCGACTGCGATTCTGTTACGGTATGGGAGATGGAATAAAGAGCGACTGATAGAGCAGTACATGGACAGCCAAGAGGAGGTTCTGGAGAAGGCTGGCCTAGGTCAGGATGTGGTCCGGGACCCACCGCGGCTCGAAACGATTGATGGCTTCATGTGCGATATCTGCTGCGAGGACACACCAGATCTGCAGAGCTTTGCCATGAAGTGCGGACATCGCTACTGCGTCAATTGCTATAGGCAGTATTTGGCACAGAAGATTCGGGAAGAGGGAGAGGCGGCGCGGATCAGATGCCCGGGCGACCGCTGCAATAATATTGTAGACGCCAAGAGCTTGGATCTGCTCGTCACTCCCGACCTGACCGAACGCTACCATGAATTGCTCATGCGGACGTACGTGGACGACAAGGAGAACTTGAAGTGGTGTCCTGCACCCGAGTGCGTCTATGCTGTGGAATGCCCTGTCAAGCAGAAGGATCTTAACCGGATCGTTCCGACTGTGCATTGCGAATGCAAGCATGCCTTCTGTTTTGGCTGTACCCTGGCGGATCACCAGCCGTGTCCATGCTCCCTTGTCAGGAAGTGGCTGAAGAAATGCGAAGACGACAGCGAAACTGCGAACTGGATATCGGCCAATACAAAGGAATGTCCGAAATGCCACTCGACCATCGAGAAGAACGGAGGTTGTAACCACATGACTTGCCGAAAGTGCCGAAACGAGTTCTGCTGGATGTGCATGGGTGTGTGGTCGGAGCACGGCACAAGCTGGTACAACTGCAATCGATTCGAGGAGAAGAGCGGTCTGGATGCCAGAGACGCACAGGCTAGGAGCCGGCAGTCACTCGAGCGCTACCTGCACTACTACAATCGCTACGCCAACCACGAACAATCCGCACGACTGGACAAGAACATCTTCGAGAAGACGGAGAAGAAGATGCAATTGCTGCAGAATCAGTCCGGCCTATCCTGGATCGAGGTGCAGTTCTTGGAGAATGCTTCGCATGCGCTACAGATGTGTCGGCAGACACTGAAGTGGACCTACGCGTTTGCTTACTACCTCGCGCGCAACAACCAGACGGAGATCTTTGAGGATAACCAGAAGGATCTGGAAATGGCAGTGGAGAATCTGTCCGAGATGTTTGAGAAGCCGACGGAGGAGTTGAAGGCGCTCAAGGTTCCGATGATGGATAAGACTGCGTATTGTCATAATCGTCGGGTAATTCTGTTGGAGGATACGGCGAAGAATTTGAAGGAAGGTGAGTGAGGAGACACGATCTTTGACGTTTCATCGTGTGAGTAGAGTGCTGACTGACTTGACTGGTATACAGGCAACTGGCAGTTCAATGTTGAGCTCTCTTAGGAGGATCCAAGCATTTGGATACGGGGAAGTGCTGCTTCTTGGACTCTTCGTGAAACCCACGCAGCCTCTGCGCCTTCGAGTCCCCCACCCGCTGGACCTCCGTTTTCTCCTGCTCGCGCGACCTCCGCTCCTCCGTCTTCCACTCATCGCTAAGGTGCCCCACCTGCTCTCATTCCAGAAGGCACCGGTCTCGAATTATCACGAGTCGAAATCAGATATGAATACCTATCCGAGGATACTCTATCAGCTGCTCTACCGAGCATTCGCCAGCATCGTACCGGCCGGCGACGAGCTCCTCGACAGACTACTCGGGCTTTCACTGCCTCTCACGCATTCAGCGCGGCGCCGGGCCGGAACTCTTTCACTATGTTTTACGTTTTTTTTTTGTGTTCGTTTGCATATTGCTCAGCGTTCTTGGAGTTTTGCGGGCAGGGCATCATGGAAACTTCGTTTGGGGTCGTGGGGTCTTCACACCAAGCCGGCAGGCAGACATCCAAGGCAAGGCATCAGGAAGGGCTGGGGCTATGATCATCATGGGTTTGTTTGATTGACGAAGTGTAGAATTGAGTGAGGGCTTTACTTGTCCTTACCCCTTTGGGCGTATGGTATATATCGTATCGTATCGTATCGTAACCCGCCGCATCACATCACAGCAAGTAGAGACGAGAAGAGAAGAGAAGAGCAGAGACTTCGTTGAACGACGGGCTTCATTGTTGCAGCTGCAGCAGCAGCAGCGAGAGAAGAGAAGTTTTCCCCGAATGCGGTTGGCTACATGTATGTATGTGATGATGGATTCTTCTTCTTCTTGCTTTGCTTTGCTTTGCTTCGCTCTGCTGCATGCAAAAATCCTTCGTGCTTTAGGAAAAACTTTCTGGAGTCTGCGGTCATTGCGCTTCTTTTTGACCGGGTTTTCTTTTCTTGACTACGAGGTATACGATGAGGCCATTCATTCCCCTGTTGCTCTCTCTCTCATAGATAGATAGGTATCCCTTTTTCCCCTCGTCCATCATCCATCGTTATTATTGCCGCCACCAATCTCGCGCACCGTGTGCCATCATCTTGCTTTCTCTT